GTGGTTGGTGGTAGTGGTGGTGGTGGTGATGATGGTCGTATGCGTGCGTAGTGCGTGCGTACGTGTGTTGCGCGCGCGCGCGCGCGCGCCCGCGGTGTGTGTGTGTGTTGTGTGTGTCTTAGATGTGTGGTGTGTGCGATCGCGTCGTTTTCGACGCCGTGCGTGGGTGAGTGCGTGCGTGCCGTGCGTGCCGTGCGTCGTGCGTGCGTGCGTGCGTACGGGCGGGCGCACCACACACCACGTCGTGTGTCACTTTTCGTCGCGTATATTATCCAGCGCTTCTCTGTACCACTCAACTGAACTCTCGACACTTGTCGCGATGTCGCACACCGTATTAACCGCCTCGGTCGATCGTAACCTGCTAAGATACTAAACTAAACGAGATTTATACGTGCACGGTCGTAGGAACACGACGAGCCGAGCGCGAGCCCGAGATACGCCGACAATTCCCGATTAAGGCGCTTCGATTAAAGCGTGATTCTCGCGAGATATCGCGAGATTCTGCGCGACGCCCCACCGAGATTCGCTCCGAAGGCTCCGAGGGCTCCGAAGGCTGCCGTTTTGATTTGCCGTGGGAACGCGCCCATTACGAATTTTTCACGAAAGTTTCAGGGATCGATCGAGTAATTTTCTCCCATGAGAACGAGAAAGTATGATTTCTTTTAGTCGCAGCTTCTAAATATGTTTTATTATTATAAATTGTTTTTTTGCGCACTGACACATGCGTTTTTGATTCTTACCGTCTCCTTTGCTCTTTTAATATTTTTATTGTTACGGAACCATTTGCTATTCTGTTTTTTTATTATAAACTTTCTCTTTCTTTTCTTTTCTAAAAGCGAAATATGTCATTTGTAAGAAATATAATATAACGCAATTAAAAAAGGGGCAGAGTTACAATAGTATTGCAACATTGCTGCAATGCAACTAAAGTCTTGTGTTGCATAAATTGTTTTTCTTCTTACAAAGTAGCGCTACTTGTAGGTTTTTTCAATTTTCATTTTTTTCCCTTTTTTTCTCCATATCTGAATATACATTTACCTCATTTTGAGCGCTTAAAATAGTATATACGATGAAAAAGAACAGACTTACGAAGATGTAAAATAACACGGCAACAGTCCGTGACAGTTATATTAGCGATATTGTATTAGATGTATAATCGAAAAAATTGAATAAATTATGGACTCTGCATTTTGAATCTTAAGATTTTCGAGTTATGCACACAATTCTGATAGATCTGATAAGGAATAGCGCAAATTTTCTTCATCTTATTTGATGCTGAAGCTGAATAAATTCATGTTTAAGGTTATACGCGGATTTGTGCAGTGTGCGTGCGTGACATACTGCGTATACGGATACGTAGGAGATATTGTAGTGGTGCGTATAGTCATATATGATAATAAAAACATGTTAGTTTTGAAACACCTATTTACATGTGAAATTTGACGCTTCATAATTTTATTACTATTAATTTTTGTTTTGGCAGTATTGAAGTTCTCAAGTGATAAAATTGAATTAATGCACTTGATAACACATTTGTTCACCTTTTATATCTTGATTTAAAAGTTTTATAAAAGCAAGAATAATGTATAATGCAAAAAGTAAAACAAGAGTATAAAAAGTATTTATTATAATTTATTATAATATAAAATAAATTTTTTTATGAGTAAAAAGATTTTCTCACAAATATGACATTATATTGCACATTTATTGATATAACAATTATAAAATCTATTATGTATATTTATTATTTTATGAAATGATAAGTATATGCATGCCAATTGTCAATGAGATATATAATTACAGTGCAGCGGTCCGTCCATGGAACCTACATTATATACTAATGATGTCTTATTCATGGAACGAATATCAGTTCGATTACAAAGACTTGAAAAAGGTGACATTGTGATTTCCAAATGTCCCACCAACCCGAAACAAAATATATGCAAGCGAATTACAGGCTTGCCTGGTGATAAAATAAAAAATGGCTTTGATGTAACAATAGTAAGTTGTCATAAAACATTTCAGTGACTTTTTATTTCTTTGTAGAGTTATTTATGATTTTTTATGGATACTTCTGCAGCTAATATCATTATGAATAGTTAGATAAAATATTAGCAAAAATTGTATGTTAATTATTAATATGTTTTCAGATACCTTATGGACATGTTTGGCTGGAAGGTGATAACAGTAATAATTCTACAGATTCTCGGGTATATGGGCCAATACCTCAGGGGTTGTTGCGCGGACGAGCTTTGTGTAAAATACTTCCATTAAAAGAGATAACTATGTTCACAACAAAATGTATTACTTAAATTAATAGTACATATAATAGAGAGATGCTTACTTTTATTAGGTGGACTCTAGAAATTCATGGATTGTGGGAAATTCATGGAATTATTCTGGTTAAATTGGTTTAAAAAAAATTTAATTTTTTACACATTTATATTATAGATTTGAACAGACTTATACTTTTCTTATATAAATGTATATTTTTTTCTTATAGGAATGTGTATCTGTGCACATACTAATTTTACTCATTGATTATATCTAACAAATATTTTGTTATCAATTTTAAGAACTTTTTCGAGATTGTATGTTTCAAACAAATGTAAGCTATCAATTTACAGAGCAGCAAATTATATATATAAAGTTTTGTATGTACATGATTTGGTAATAAATAATTGTACATCAGCAATAATTGTGATTAAAAATAATGAATGGAAAGATACAAATGTGATAAATATATTTTTAATGACTTTTAATCTAACATATCACATTTCAAGGACGCTTGAAAGTGAATGCAGTGTTGCCAGTCGGGCCGGTTGCTCCGCCGCCGGTTAAGTCGCGCATGCGCCTGCGATGATAAATATAGTTATGTTTTATAGATGCGCAGTTTGGTGGGCCTCATTAGACTGGCAGGACAGGATAAGTTGTAGCATAGGAAAATTCAAATAAGCTTAATATTTTTATTTTTTTATTTGTTATTTTAATATTTTACTATTTTACTTTTCTTTAACTTATCCTCAAATATCTTTATTATTCAATATATGTTTACTAATGTCCGTGCGCTCATAACACGTTATTGTGTACGACCTGGTTTGTAGAGGGGATTGAAGGGGCATCCCGACTGATAGCACTGAGTGAACGATCAAGATAGTATATAATCTGTACAAACGGTGAGCGGTTAGTGACTCGTGTGTGCCACGTACGACTGTAATAAAGTAAGTATTTGTTTTTCTACATTTTTCATTCTGAATATCGAGATAAATTGAAAGTATTTTTAAATATTTGTATCGCCATTCGCAAATTGAATTACGTAATATAAATATGAAAGAAAACGCTGATTACATATTCGAGTACATTTTACTGTACCTTTTGATGAAAATTTAACCTTTATTTGCCATTCCAATATTTGGGAAAGTCTGAAAAAAAATATTTGGATAAACTTCCGAAAAGCTATCACCTCCGATTTGGCTGATTTTCAGTTTAAATATTTATTTTATTTAGTTAATAATATTCCCAAATGGATTTTTGGCGCAAATGCCCCCTCTGCTCCCTAGCTCCCCTTAAAGGTAAAATCGTTTTTGTTAATTATTTTAGAAAGTATTTATTGTACGGAAAAAGTTGTAAAACAAAAATGAAGCTCATAAAAAGCTCTACAAATAAGACAAAATCAATAGGAGCCACAATGCAGGTTCTTCGTGCGAAAGCATAGACATAGGAATAAGGAGACGGAGGGCGGTATTCATAGTCCGTTCTTATATTCAAAATCGTCTTAAGCGCGGACTTATATTCGCTCTCTTCGTCACACATAGATTGTGTCTGACGAAGAGAGCGAATATAAGTTCGTGCTTAAGACGATCTTGAATATAAGAACGGACTATGAATACCGGCCGGAGTGTAAGCCGCGGGGGGTGAAGTCGCTTTCGGGGAGCGGGGACTACGGTCACATGGTACTTTGGTGCCGCATTTATGCTACAACCACGGTGTAAGAATATAAGGTGATTTCACGGCAACAAATTTTTGTGATTTTTCCGTCATTGTTCCACATTGAATCGCTAGGTGGCTACGTGTTGAGGGACTTTAAATATATATATATACATATATAGAAATTTTACAGCGCTCGGAATTAGTTGCACATTTCGGACCGATTCAGGAGACGACGCCTCCTGTTCCTTCACTACCGCCCGGCCGCTGGCGGCCGAGCCGCCGATAGCTCTGGCTCAGGAGCGTTTTATATTAGAAATAGGCTGGATTGTTTAGGCATCTCTCAGGAAATCATAACATTTTCTTCACTACATAAATAATGTTTATTTTATTAATACATAATATATATATATTTAACTATTAATGAAAATAAACATTAATTATGTAGCAAAGAAGATATTACCATTTTTTGAGAGGTGCCTCAACAACCCAGCCTATTTTTTATATAAAACGCTCCTGCGTTAGAGCTATCGACGGCTCGGCCGCCAGCGGCCGGGCGGTAGTGGGGGAACAGGAGGCGTCGTCTCCTGAATCGGCTCGAAATGTGCAACTAATTCCGAGCGCTGGTGTACAATATTAAAACGAAAGAATCGCTCGCAGTAATTACATAGAAAATAAGATGAAAATAAGATTCTACAAATGAATACCGTATAATGAATATTTTCTGAAATAATTAACAAAAACAGTTTTACCTTGAGGTGGGCTGAGGGGCGGAAAGGACATTTGCGCCAAAAATCCATTTGGGAATATTATTTACTAGATAAAATAAATATTTAGGCTGAATATCAGCCAAATCGGAGGCGATAGCTTTTCGGTAGTCCACCCAAATATTTTAGACGAAAGAACGAAATTTCCATTTAAAAATATTGCGATAAATTGTGATAAATGTACATTAAAAAAATCAATATTTTTTACGCATATATAAATATTAATACTAACATTTTTTTTGGGTCAACATAGATGGTCGCTTTACGGTGGGGCATTATTAGCGCGGGAAAAATCTCGCACGATTTCGTAACGGCTTTACGATCTTTTCCGGAAGATGAGCACGATGTAATCGCTGTTGCAGCACGAGATTTGTCGCGTGCACAAGATTTTGCGAAGCTTCATGGTATCAAGAAAACCTACGATGATTATGAGAAACTGGCCATGGATAAAGATATTGGTATCCGATAATATGATATTACATAACAATATATCTCTTTCATTTTTCTAAAGTTAGTTTAATTAATATTGAGAGTTTATCCCCAGACAGCACGCATGTCCAAAATCGAGACATAAGACGGCTTAAAGACGTCATTAAGACGCCTTTTAGACGCGGTATCTAAAGGACGTCTTAATGATGTCTTTAAGATGTCTTATGTCCCGATTTTAGACATGTGTGCTGTCTGGGTCACTGTGAAATCTCAACAATACACAAAATTTTTAGTATATTGTCTTTATAAAATATTTATATTAATTTGTTAACTAGTTTTAACTAGATAAAAAATAGTCTCTGTGGTGTTGTTAAAAATCCGAATAAGATTTATTTTTAATACAAATGATACAATAATATGCAAATAGAATTTTTAAATATTTATAAATTAATTTTTATAAAAACACTTGTAAAAAACGAGTTATCTCATGTATCTTTTTTAGTTAACAAATTCATATTACATATACATAACAAGATATTAAGTAATTTTATAAATAAATTTATAGTGTCAATTATAAAGATTTAAATATAAACTGTATGCATATATTTAAAATAAATATTTGATAATATAATTATTATTATTAAAAAATCAAAATTTGTGTATGTGAAAATACAGTAATTATATAATAATTTATCTATCATATTTTAAGATATTGTATACATCGGTGCAATTCACCCTCACCATTTTAACACCGCATTGATTGTGTTGCATCACAACAAACATCTTTTGTGCGAGAAACCATTAACGATGTACTGGTACCAGACAGCTAAAATAGTTCATTTCGCGAGAGGCAAGAAGTTATTCTTAATGGAAGGTGTGTGGAGTCGCTTCTTCCCTGTGTACGACGCCATTAGAAAGGAAATCGCGTCTGGCAGTCTTGGCGACATTTATCAAGTGATCGTCCCCTTCGGTTTTAAAATGCCCGACATAGATCGGATAACGTTCGTAATGTTTATTAACTATACATGAATAAGAAAGAATAAAAATAATGACAAGTGTTTAAAAGATGACAGAAAGTTCTAACATCTTTTAGGCATTTGTTCGAATTAGAATTATTAAATTTTTAATTAACTTTGCACAATTTGCATTTGCAGTAAAAAAGAGTTGGGTGGCGGTACGATTCTAGACCTCGGCGTTTACTGTCTGCAATTCGCCTGCTTGGTATATGATAATGAAGAGCCAGAAAGCATACAAGCCTCCGGGTGTTTGAATGAGGACGGCGTCGACATGTCCATGTCGGCTACGTTGCTTTACAAAGGAAATCGCACTGCGACTATTGCGACGAGCGCATTGGTAGATTTACCGAATGAAGCACGCATCTGCGGCACCAAAGGTATGATAACAGTACCAAATTTCTGGTGCCCAACGACGGCGAATTTACCAAGCGGCCCTGTAAACGTGCCGTTGCCAGAATTGAAGCAAGAGACTAACTATATAAATTCTGCTGGACTTTGTTATGAAATTGCTGAAGCTCGCGCTTGTATTCAGAAAGGTAAAACTTTTAATGTAGTTATAAATATAAATTTTTAAATTATAATAAAAAATTGTTATATGATAATTCATCCAGACAACGCGCGTCTTGAAGACATCTAAAAGACGTCTTTTAGATATCTTTAAGGCATACGTGTTGTTTGGGCAGTAAGCAAACTGTTAGAAATGCTGACAGCGCTGCCGAACAGCTATAGTTAATATTTTGCTTACTGAGAAATTCTGAACCAGAATTTCTTACAAAAATAACAGCAAAAATATGCCAAGTATATAAAAAATGATTTATCATAACGATAAATACTGGCTTAAATATTTTGATATGTTTAATTATACAGGTTTAACAGAAAGTTCGAAGATGACGCTTGACACGTCTATGTTATTGGCAAAACTCGAGGATGAACTTCGCAAACAATTAGGTGTCAAATATTCTAAGTTAAGTTAAGTAACCTTATGCATTCACATAAATACCTATTACTATATATTCAATGTATAACCGAAAAATAATTTTGCATTTATGATAAATATCTGTGTTTACTAGTAGATGTTTTCTTTTTTTAAGATTTTACCAAAATTTTATCTTTAAAGATCACATGCCAATGTGAGTAAACATAACATTTGTGTGGTTATAACCTAACCTAACCTAACCCTAACCCTAATCCTAACCCTAACCTAATTTAAAACCGGTGTTAAGTGCCGCTTACACAACATTTTAGTTAGTAGTTAAGGTTATTGCACGTAAAAATCGACCAATCACAGTAATGCGAGTGACGATTACGATTAAATCTTTTTTATGCCTTTATGTATCTAGTTGCAAACGTTTCCGATTGGCATGATTCTTTTTTTTCCCTTTGTTTCCTTAAATACTTATTACCAGCAAGGACACAAAAGCATTATTCTCTCTATTGCTTATAGGATGTCGAACAAAGACAGAATGACTTGTGTCTCTTGCTGGAAAGCAATCATAATTACGGATGTCACTAGAAGTCAGAGTTGCCACACTCTTTCTAGAGACGCGCGATTATTTTGTTTATTGTGTTTGCCGTAGTGATCCACGACAGTCATTTCATAGGTCAATATATATACTAAGGCCGGTTGAATACAATTCAAACAGAGCTCTTAACGGTTATCGTGAAATGTACACTCTTGTACATCAAGAACGAATAGTTGGACTATCATAGCGATTTATCTGCATTTCTGCGTACAAATTGTATTCAGACATACAAGAGTTTTATTTCTGCTATGAAGAAAACGTAAATATGTCGAAGTCACACAGGCATTAGGTAATTGTACGGTAAAAAATAGTGTGTACGAGATTGAGTGTTGTAACCAGAGAAGTTTGTTGTTGTGAGTGACAAGGTTTGTCTAAATTAATTTAGCATTACTATTATCTCCATTTTTTTTTTTTTTTTTATGAAATACATATTTAATATTTGATTGTGAACATGATATAGTTTAATATATTGAAAACAAATGCATGATATTTTAATTTGATTAAATCAATCAATTTTTATATATAGTTTTTATTTTTTGCATGAAATATATTGGATATTTGAATGCATGTAATATGTATAAACTATAATCTATACTACTTGATAGTATAATTTAAGAAGAAAGTATTTTATAATATCTGCATGATTTATTTGCCATTTGTTTTATGATGTTCTAAACAAGTTCTAACTTCTTTATAAAATTAAAAGTATTTACATTATTCTAAGTATGTATTGAAAAATCTTTCTTAAAGTACTTAAACTTTTTTTATTGCATGTGATAGATGGAATCTCGATTACCAAAACCAAAAATTATATTAAAAAAGGCTATTAGTACAGTGGACATGAATGTCAAAAGTAACAACAATAAACTTAGAAGAGATGATAATACTTCAGCATCAACAAGTACTATCAGTACAAAATCTATAAATGAGAACAAACTAGTACCGAAACAAACTTTAGTTCGTTCAAAAACGCTATCTACAATTACAAGACCAACAAATGTGACAGCTGTAAAACGAACAGCTACTGCTGTAACATATGGAGAAGTGAAAAGACCATTTGTTAAACCTGTTGCCAAAACAATAGTAAATAAGTCAAGTAATAATGCATTAGTAACTAATAACAGAGGCAACAAAGTAGTACAAAATAATACCGATAATAAAACGGACAAGATTAAAAGATGGGATCTAAGGGGTCGTTTAGCACAGACAAGTGATAAACTATCAGTTGCAACACAAAAGCACAAAGACATAGAATCAAAATACACTGCATTACAAGAATTAGTAAATAATTTACAAGCCAGTGAAACTCTATACAGAACTAAAGCACAAGAACTTGAAGTTTCAAACGGTACTTTGACAAGTAAACTTCAGTGTTTAACAGAGGAAACGTCTATAATGCGAGAGCGCCACGAAAGTTTAACACAACGATTAAAGGAAGCAGAAGAATCATGTAAAAGTCTTTCTTACACATTGAACGACATTCAAGGAAAATACAAAGCACAGGAGATATTAGTTTTGGAACAAACCAAAGAATTGACAACTTTGAAATCAGACTTAGAATCACAAACAAAGATAAATGAGGAATTAGAAACATTATCTCATAATATGGATAAAGAACGCAGATTATTACACAACACTATACAAGAATTAAAAGGAAATATCCGAGTATTTTGCAGAGTTCGCCCGCGAACCCCACAGGAAATAGAACAGATGAAAGGGTAAGTAGATTTCTACACATTTATATTGTAGTCATTAAAGGAAATCAAAGTGTTATTAGACAAACGCATAAAATTAAACACATCTTTGCTTATGTTTTAAAGATAATTTTATAGGATTTATTTGTTCTATATTTTTATTTGTTTATATATTTTTTTATACATTAATATTTTTCTTAACTATATTAACTGTTTTAGTAATAAATCAGAATGTATAATGTCATATGACAAACAAGAGCCAAATCTTTGTTGAAATGAGTGTCTAATTTATGAATCTGATAAGCAAAATTATTGTTTGTGATTGATAGGATGTGTAGCATCAACTTCATAGATGACTGTACTATTGAAATAAACAAATTGGATGGATTAGATGCGATAAATAATTGCAGTGGAAAGTCAAAAGGAGTAAAACAAGAATTCTCCTTTGATAAAGTATTCACACCTAATGCATCACAACAAGAGATTTTTGAAGAGTTATCTCTTTTAGTACAATCAGCGCTTGAAGGATACAATGTTTGCGTATTTGCTTATGGTCAGACTGGTTCTGGCAAGACGTATACTATGGAAGGAGAATACGGATTGCACACTGAAGGCATGATACCTAGAACGGTATATTGCTCATAAATTTTTACACTGAATATAATTTTATGCAGAGTTTTTTATTGAACATTAATTAAAAAATTATATATATAAAATGTTTATATAAATAAAATTTAAATTTGCTGCTGTAATTTGATTTTTATATAAAAATGGAAATTATTTGTTTGCAATTTCAGGTACGTCACATATTCAAGGAAATGAAGCAATTCGAACTTCTTGGTTGGAATTATCGGATAGAAGCAAGTTTTTTGGAAATTTACAATGAACATATTATTGATCTTCTTGATTGCCAACCAAAGACACATGAAATACGCATGGTTAATAGTAAAGGTCAAGATTTATATGTGAGCAATCTTCAAATTAAAGAAATACACAGTCCAGAAGAATTGCACGAATGTCTTTATACAGCACAACAAAACCGAGCAGTTGCAGCCACACAAGCAAACGAACGGTGAGTTTACATCACTTAATTCGTTTATTTCAAACTGCAGTAAAAATCTATGAGGAGCGCAACACAGATTCTATTGTATATTTTCAACTAAATAATAGTTTTAAAATATATATAATTAAATCATTGTAAAACTGGCTTAATATTAGAAAATATAATTTTTTTCCTGTTTTTTTTTTTAGGTCATCGAGATCACATTCGGTAGCACAAATACGATTGATTGGCACTCACTCGACGAAACAAGAAATATCAATAGGAAATTTGAATTTAGTGGATTTAGCCGGCTCTGAACGTTTAAAAAGCGAAGAAGCTGCTAGAAATGCAGAAACAAAAAATATTAACAAATCTCTAGCAAATTTGGGTAATGTTATTTTAGCGCTCTTAAAGAAGCAGGAACATATTCCTTATAGGAATTCAAAGTTAACGCACTTATTAATGCCTTCTTTAGGGGGCAATTCAAAAACCTTAATGTTGTTGAACATATCTCCGTTAAATGAGTGCTATAATGAAACGTTAAATTCCTTAAGATTTGCCAGCAGTGTTAATAGTTGCAAAACCGGTAATATTAAGCGAAGCCGAATGGTTTTACAAAATATAACTAATTGAATGTTTACTCCAATTCTTTATCCAAATGTTGATTTTGATTACAATAAAATCTGATCATACATTTTGAATTCATTACTTTTACATTTTATACTTTTATTTATTATTTTATATATGTAACTAATATATGAAAGACAATTCTTTTACTATTATAATTCTCACAGGTATAATTGATATAATCTAGAAAAAACGTATCTATGATTGATGGCAAAATCGCAATAAAATTCGATACATTTTATTATGACAATAATATAAAAATATAAGTTAAACACAAAAAAAAAAATTTCAAAAAAAAGTTTATAAAAGCGCTAAATATAAAATTCTTTATTTTATTACAGGACAACAATAATTTCTTTTATTATTTTATAAATAAGAAAATGTAATATACCAAGTGTTATTATATGAAATTATTTTGAAATATTAGTACAGATTGATATATGTAATCATAACTCTAATAAACTCAAAAACTCGTATATGTTAGTGAAATTCGTATATTCATACAAATATTTTTGCATATATAAATACAATATGAAGTTTTGAAAATACTAGAATTTATATCTTTAGATTAATATTTAGCTTAACCTTGAATTAAAATATAAAACGTACATCGATATTGATATTGATACTAGTTTACGAAGATTTGATAACAATACTGATAGTAATAATTTAAAATTTTGTAATGTTTATTCGAGTTTGCACGCGTGTCAAATAAAAAAATGTATTCTTTTTAAATTCCTGTTTCCTCAATGCAGCTGTATCGAAATATCTTACTAGTTTATATTATCGAATATGAATAATAAGGATTTTACACATCGAATAAATCAGTTTATTCTTAGTGTAAAAAAAAACAAAATTTTATATCTCGATTGAAAGCTTAGAAATTAGAAATTGTTTTTATCTCTATTACTTTCAGTGTATATGTATTTCTTCAGAGGATATGTAGAATAAATATAAAGATCCTTTTATGATATAATTTAGATGTGCAGTCTTTTCGTGCGTACATAACTCCGTACATTATGCATTAATTGTAGGTACACACACGCATGTCGCGCGCTTCTCGACGTTGAATTTCATCACGTGATCACTTAGTTTATCATTTCCAAGTAACGTGGCGGCACTGCGGCAGTTACAACCGGAACTTTTTGATACATGATATCAATTCACTTGAAGAAAGAAGGAAGTGTTTGGAGTTAATCACTGAGAACTTTGAGAAATACCGTTGGATTTTACTAAATAGCACAAAATGTAAACAAAAGAATTATTTATTTTGATCTAAATCTATTTCGAATTAATTCTTAGTATTAATTTACCAATTTGTTACAACAAACATAACCTCAACTGCACAAACATAAACCTAAATTTTATTTATATTTTATATAATTATTTTCTTAAAGCATTTTTTAATAAAAAATGAAAGAATTTTAACATTGTTAATATCATTGTTTTTGTACCAGGTCTTCTTTAACTAAGCCAAAATCTGAGATGACACCGGAGGAATTAGCAAAACGAGAAGAGGAGGAATTTAATACCGGGCCTCTTTCAGTTTTGACACAGTCTGTTAAGAATAACACCCAAGTATTGATTAATTGCAGAAATAATAAGAAACTTCTGGGACGAGTAAAAGCATTTGACAGACATTGTAACATGGTTTTGGAAAATGTGAAAGAAATGTGGACAGAACTTCCACGCACAGGAAAAGGCAAGAAAAAGGTACATATGTAATCATTGATATATTTTTAAAAATCTTAAATTATACAAATCTAATTTCATTATTAAGCAAACATTATATGGAGATTTAAATTTATTTATCTAATAGTTGTCAATATATTGGATAATCGATAATTATTTGGTATTTGATATATCTTTAATATTTAGAAATTATACCATTTAGTGACTTGCTAGATAATCAGCTTTTATATTTAAAAGGAAGATAATATAATTGATTTAAAATAAATTTTAATTATATTTTGAATAATTTTTTATAAGAGATATTACTTTTTTCATGCTATGTATGAATACTAATTAAATCTAATTAATGTATTATCAGATATATGACCAATACTAAGCAATTTTATTAAACAATGTTTACTTTTACTAAGCAATGTTTAGATATTTAATACAATATATACTTCATAGTAATACTTCATAGTATTAATATTGGCCGCGTTCAACAGAACAACTGCTAAATTGTCGTCTAGTCAACACTTAACGTTGATTTGTTGGTTCTAAAAGTAAGAGCCAATCACGTTCGATTGTTACTAAGCGGTTTGTTCTGCTGAACGCGCCCATTGTTTATACTTTCTTTGCATGGTATTATTAATAATATCAATCCAACAGGCGAAACCAGTGAACAAAGACAGATTTATTCCAAAAATGTTTCTACGTGGGGATTCTGTCATCTTGGTGCTGAGAAACCCACTGGCAACTGCAGCAGGAAAGTAACAAATTAAGGATAATTTAATATTAAAAAATTAAGATTAATACTCTAATAAAAAAATCAATTTTTTAACGCAAATGTTAATGTATTATTTAATTAACGTACCAAATACCTTTTACAAATTCTATTTGAGATACAACTTATTAAATATTAAAAGTAAAAAAATGTATTAAGCAAAACATATTTATTATACTGAATTGTATATTTATTATTAAATGAATTGCATACAAGATTATCAATCTTTCTCAGCAATCGTAGTTAAATGTTTGTCAATCTCTTGCTCATTCAGAACACTGTAACAAAAAAAATTTTTTTAGCGAAAACAAATTCGTCACATGTATAAATGCCATTTAGATTTTTGTACATAAAATATTAAAAAGACCAACTCATTTATCAATTTACCGGAATTTAGGGTTATCCTTGGATACAACTCCCACCTCAATTTCAGTTGGTTTAAAATCCACAGATAAAACAGTAGACAGACAAGTAATAGCTAGTTGAATAGTTTCATCCAAATCATAACTTTGTTTCTTTTTCAATTTCTTTTCGAGATAGGAATTGGCTTCGGTTTGTTTCGCTCCTACAGAAATAGCTCTATAACCACAGAAATATCCTGCCGGATCAGCTTTATAAATGCATGGACCCTTTTCCTTGTCGTAAGCAATAAGCATCATGGAACATCCAAGAGGTCGCATCTCTGCATTTTGTGTGTACACTTGACTAATATCGGCTACACGTTGACACAAAGCATCTATGGGTATCTCATAACCATACTTGTATTTAAAATGAGCTGCTTCGTACCGAGCACGTTGTACTTGTGATTTACTATCGGCTGTAAAAAAGTGAGTTAAAAAACATAGAATCTTATAATGGAGCCATAAATTATCCACACTCACCTATCATACCCGTCATAACACAACCGATATAATCAGTTAATTGAAATACATGGGTGACACTGGAGGCATCGAGTAACTTATCCTATAAAGATAAATAATAAATATTACAATACAGTATTTCTAAACAAAGCTAAATATTGCAATTAAAATATGAACTTGAGAAAGCGTATCGAAGATGTTAAGCAGTAGTTAATTACAAAATAATTATGATAAAACCTATAAAAGATTTTTTGGAGGTTATCTTACAGGTACTTTCTTCTGTGTTGCGAAAACAGCAGTGTCGACTCCTTTGACAGCTACAGATGTCAAACCACCCTGGTTGATCGCTTTGAAAGCGTATTCTATGACGATTTCGAAAAAGAAACATAAATTACAAGTTCGAAAATGCAGATCATGCTGTAATCAGCGTGCGTATATGAACTATTTACACAGGTGATAGTGTCCATAATATGGTAAATAATCGCCAGTATCTTGTTTAACATTTCTGTGACGCTTACCTACTTGGTAAAGCCGACCTTCGGGTGAAAAGATCGTAATATGCCTGTCAAAACCAGCACTACTTCCGCGCGCCATGTTCGCAAATACACGAAGATGATTGTTTTTCGTTCAATTCGGAAACGTCATATGTAAAGCCCGTCTCAGATATGTCCGTGTCGTCTTGCAGATCTAGGGTGCGTACGCGGAGCGTGCTATTAGGGCCGTTTTACAATGCGTCATAAATGCCCGGTCGCGAAGGATGGCAACTACTAATTGAAAAGTGCTATTTCTGGTTATTTTCGCAGAGTGTAAAAATCTCTCGAGCTCTTCGAAGCTGAGGCACTCTCAGTTGGTTTTCGAACGGTGTTCGGATGGTTGGGTGTTCTCGCGTGTAGTTTCTGAACGCAACCGAGCGAGCAATGTGAGTGGAATTGCATTCGATTTGTTTACGATAGAAACTGATCCTCCTCTTGTGACGTTAATTTTATATAAATATCACAACAAAATTAAGAGGAGCTAACAGACAAAATGCATGAAAACACACGTGTATCGCCGCGAGTATTTACAGCAATACAAAATGTCGATATTATAGAATTATCGTTGTGTTCGCATAAAGAAATCAGACCCATTCTGCCGTGTTTGGTTAGAATGAGTCTCATCTCGCCGCTTGACATAACGAAAGAGTGTGTGGAGGGTAGAAAACAAGTTTTGACAATATTGTCTGGCATCGAATCAGTCAACTCTATTATCGCTCTTCTTTCTATTGATTTTCACGCACTTGAAACCGACGTTCGACAGGAGCAACAGTTGAGGTTAGAATATACACATTTTATCTTATTTCTATATTTATGCCTATTAAAAATAAATTTTAAATTTATTACTAAAGCATATTTTATTATATAGTTGTTTGCATATTTAGGGTGACTTATAAGTTTATGTTTTTATATGATTATTATGTGCTAAGGACTGATTGATATATATTTATTTTTTTAGGCAAAAGCTAGGTAGTGTGCAGCGAGACAGTGTGTTGGCGCAATCTTTGCAAAGTGGATTGGCGCTAGAGTTTGAACGCAGCGAGTCTATTCGTCGGATCAGATTGGTTCTCAGTGAAATTTTGTTTATAGCATCTCAAGTACAAGAATTTCAAAAAAATCAGGAGTTTCAGATCAAGCAGTCCGATTTATTTGACAATGCCGTTTATATGGAGGAGATCAGCTATGTGATTTGCATAGCGCTAGCTGAATTGCCAACATTGTTGTCCATATTGGATATCGTAGAGACTCTTTTACATGTTAAACATGGTTCAGATATCATCTGCTGGATCGTCGCCAACAGTCCAGACAGTTTCTCAGAGGTATGCGCGCATTTAATTGCAAATGGAGAGCGACAGGAGGAATCTGCACTAGGCAGGATTAGAACACAAGCCATCACAATGTTATGTCAGATGAATCCGAGTCAAGCACTGGCAGTGAGAGCTAAATGCGTAGAACTGTGTAGGATGCCCGCTCTGGCTATCACTCTGAGCTTGGAACACGAAAACACACATAGCTCCCAGCCTGAAAGCGACGTGGTTGCCTTTGTGTCCGGCTTGCTACTAGGCAGCGATCAGCAAGTGCGCTCATGGATCGCGATGTTCATCAGAAATGGACAGAAACGTAAATGGGAATCCCAGACAGCTTTGCAGTCGTTGCGCGAGGAGTTGCTTAAGCGATTACAAACAATCGCTTCTCAAAGCACGGACAGTCAGTTAGCAGAGTCGCAAGTTGTGCAAGCAAGCGCGTTGCTGAGGCTATATTGCGCCCTGAGAGGAATCGGCGGCATCAAATTTCAAGACGACGAAGTGGGAATGATTGTGCAGCTACTGACATCGCATCCACCACCGTCGCCAGCCGGTGTTAGATTCGTATCTCTCGGTTTGTGCATGTTAATAGCATGCCCTTCACTGATCGGACATCATAATCTGGAGAAACGCAGCATCGAGTGGGTGCAATGGCTGGTGCGCGAGGAAGCCTATTTTGAGAGTGCGAGCGGCGTAACGGCTAGTTTCGGCGAGATGCTGCTATTGATGGCGATACACTTTCACAGCAATCAGCTATCGGCCATTTGCGAATTGGTTTGCGCCACGCTCGGAATGAAGATACCCATTCGACCAAACAATCTCACGCGGATTAAGCAGATTTTTATGCAGGAGATCTTCACCGAGCAAGTGGTCACTGCGCATGCCGTTAAAGTGCCGGTCACGGCGAATCTCAACGCCAACATTCCTGGATTCCTGCCGGTACACTGCATCCATCAGTTGTTGAAATCGCGGGCATTCGCGAAACATCGAGTGCCCATCAAGGATTGGATATACCGTCAGATATGCACGAGCGTGCCGCCGTTGCATCCGGTCTTGCCGGCTCTGGTGGAGGTTTACGTGAATTCCATTCTGGTGACGAACAATAAGACGTCCGAGCACACGAACAAGCCCATCACCGAGAACGAGATTCGCCGGGTGTTTCAGAACAGCGTGTTCGGGGCGAATTTCGATTTTAAGAAAAATCCTGTCAACATCATGCAAATGGACACCGATAATGTGGACATCGACGCCTTGAAGCCCTCCCTCACTTCGCAGCTATTGCTGCTGTATTATCTCTTGCTGTACGAGGACGTGAGGCTGTCCAATATGCACACCTTCATATCGCAGTGCAGGAAAGTCAAGTCGTATTCGTCCGAATTCCTCTCCGAGTTACCGATCAAGTATTTATTGCAATTGGTTCAACGGGATCAGATGAATTACGCCAGCCTGTTCTCACCGCTTCTACGGCTACTGGCAATCCACTTTCCGCATTTATCTCTGGTGGACGACTGGCTCGACGACGAGATGATTAATATCGATTCGGCCATCGCCAGTTATGAGAGTAAAAAAATTAGCGACATCGCTATTGTCGAGGCGTTCGGTCACGTTAAAACTTGCGCGTCAAGAACCGGAAGACTATTGAGGCAATTAATGACGCTGAAACCAACTGAGATCTGGCCTCACGCCGAGCTCATAATACATTATTTCAAGGATATACTGGACGAACAGGTTCCTAGATACATACAAGGTATACATGTTACTTTTCTTTTAATACAGCATTTATAACTAATAATCACACTTATACATATAAATATTCAATACAGTAAGTTATTTTTTAAAATTATATCTCAATATGTATTAAGAGATTAATATGTGCATGCAATTGTTATTAACAAGGAATGCTTTTCAACTTCTAGAACTTTATAAGCAAGTGTGGCTGAGGCTTAATACTGTATTACCACGTTGTTTATGGGTCCTTTCCATAAACGCACTGCTAATAGAAAATTCAATAGTGAAAAATGTCTTTTTGACACAAGACAACATTGTATTAGACCCGTTACAAGTATTAAGGTGCGATACACGAGTTTTTCGATGCGCGCCGATTTTATCTGTGATTCTTAGGTAAGCGATGGTTCTGTTATGTAAGAGAGAAATTGTTAAAAGGATCTTTATGATAAAAATGATACAATTTTAATAGAATTTTGCAAGCAACATTAGCGGCGTCGCGATCTCAATTATCCAGGCACATGCAGGATAAGCCTCTAACTGAAAAAGTCGGACAGTTGACAAACGAAACGGAAAGAGAAGATTTGAGGATAGCCTTAGTCGCAGGCCAAGAAAGCGCGGCGGTGCAAATTTTATTGGAAGCGTGTCTGGAAACGGAAGAGGATAGAAGGACTCCCGGACAGATGTGGTCTCTCCGTGAGATACAAAGTGTCGTTTGTTCCTACTTGCATCAAGTGTTCATAGCCGATCCGTCTCTGGCCAAATTAGTTCATTTTCAGGTAACAATAAATCCATGTATATACATATTTTTTTTTTCATAAAATAAATTGTATGTAATAATAATAATTATTACAATTTACTTTTCTATTACGTATATCAATTGATCGACTGAACGGATTTTTATCCAGATCTTGAATATTTTTTATTTGTAGGGTTATCCACGAGAACTGCTGCCAATCACAGTTTCTGGAATCCCATCCATGCACATATGCCTCGATTGGATTCCGGAATTACTGTCTCAGCCCGAGCCGGAAAAACAAGTATTTGCGGTTGACTTGGCTTCGCATTTAGCGATTCAGTACGCCTTGCCGAAAGCACTGAGCGTCTCCCGATTGGCGATTAATACTCTAATAACACTATTAGGTGTGTTGTCCGCCGAGGATCGAATCGTTCTTTTCATGCCAGTGTTATCGTCACTGACGCGAATATGTCTGGCCTTTCCACCATTGGCCGAAGATACCACAGGTCTGTTACTCCAGTTGGGTCGAGTCAGTTCAGCTCAGGCGGCTCTGGGTGACAAAGCGGCGAGCTTATTGTGTCAAGAAGTCAACACGACGTTTTGTACCTTACTACAGAAAGCTATACTACAATCACGAGTTTATTGAAATGCCAATTTTATATAAAATATGTGTATAAAATATTGTTGATTGTCTCGAGAATTCTTATATTATATATATTAATATAATATTAATATATCTTATTATATGTATATATATATATATATATATTAATATAATATTAAATATATTAATAAAATTTGTGATGAGAGATTAGAATATAAAATTTTAATATATTTTATATTTAGTTATTTTTATATAATTCTCGAGACAATTAATAATATTGTATACAATCAACAAAGTAGATTTTCAACAAACTTGTAGCTTTATGCAGACTGCAAAATAATACAATGTTCCAAAGTTGAATGATCAAATCTTCTTATGTTTTGACAATACATATCCAGACAAATTTTAATAATAATTTTAATAATGTAAATGTTGTAAAATATGTATAATAATAAAGACATTTTACTATACACATTATCACATATTTATGTTTATTATATTCTTATAACGCACATGATATATATTCTTTTTATTTTTTTCCTCGTGTCTATAATTCGTCATACTTTGCAATGTTTAATGCTATTATTTTCCTTTAATATAAGCCATAACATAAAATTCACATAAAGAGTATTATACGTCTAATTCTCCACCAAATAATTGTTAACAATTATCTAAATGATAATTATATATATATATATATGTATATATATAGAATGTATATGTTTTATATGACATACTCTGCATAGCATAAACAAATATTTCATTTGGATGTTACATATTCAAATCACTTGTAAATATAAAGCCAAAATTATGAGTTTTGTCTATTCTAAGGAATTTAACATGAGAAGTTGTTTTAACACTTTGGTTTGACTTGTTTCTCTGATTTCACCTGCTAAGAACATCTCGTCCACAACAGTGTAGACCTAAAATAATTGTATTTTAGAATAAATAATACAACTAAAATGGGTTAAATAATTTAGAAAATTTCAAAAATTTAATTAAAATAATCAGCCAATATTACCTTGTAAAAATTGAAGACTAAATCCAATTCGCATACATTGTGGAAGTATTCATTCAATACTTCCACAAAATTATGGATTGCTTCCAAGTAACAGAGATTATTATCGTTAACATCAACACAAATGCAGAAATATAAGCCTGCATATCGCCTATATACTATCTTAAAATTGCGAAACTGAAATATACATTTAACGTTATTTGTATATTTATTTACATATTTTATATAGTTACTAGTTCATAAAAAGACAACGTGTAGCCAGACTTACCTCGACAAAGTTTGTGTGCTTTGCGTCTCTGACAGTGACCACTGCATGAACTTCTTCTATTAACTTTTGCTTTTCATCATCGTCAAAATTCATGTACCACTTTGCTAATCTAGTTTTACCTGCCCTGTTTTGTATAAGGATAAAGCGTATCTGTAAGGAAATATGTTCAAAGCTAAGTATTTATCTCTATCTGATTTATGATAAATTTAATTTTTGATTAGAATCTGGAATGTAAGATCTATTGATATTTTTTTGATCAAATAATACATGTTAAATGTTGATTATGAGTGGTCAAAAACTGCAATACAACCACCTGTCAGAAATTCTATACACTAATCAAGTAAGATGACATTTTGGAGTATTTTTTGACATGTAACCATCCACGTCTCTAGCACTGATAAAAATGTAATTTATTTTACAATTAGAAATACTAGCATACCATTTTCGAAATCGGTTATATTTCACTCAGCGTAATGTATAACAAAAACAGATAAACATGAGATTCTATCAATTCCCCGCCCTCTGAATTCAGGAACGAAACAATATCAGATAAGTCCAGTGAGCTATGTAAAGTCAGCGGCACACGATGCGTTTTTGCCATGGAGGTAAAGGAGAGAGAATAGTGCCGAGGGGTTGAAGCCAAGGTGGGGAAGAGGGGTAAGCCGTCAGCCATCTTGATAGGTGACATTAGTGCTGCTATCTAATGCATAGCAGTGAAATTACTTCATAGTGTAAAGAAGTGTCAAATGAAATTAAAGTAAGAAGTATACGAATAAAGTATTAAAAAATGCCATCGTGTATTTTGGAAACTTGTTCTAATAGAACCTACCGAAAATCATATAAACAAGAAGAACTCGAGAAAAAGCAGAAGATAACTTTTCACACGAAAGTACAACAATAATGTAAGATCTTTGCATAATAGAATTTACCAAATCTTATCAAATTAAACATAGACTTATTACAATAAATAATTGTTTAAAGATGTAATATATATTAGAAAATATTAAAAATAAAATTTGAATTCTTAATATATTTCATAGATTCCCAAAAAATACGTGCAGGCGAAAACAGTGGTGTGAAATATTACAGTTGCCTGAAAATACTATAAAATCAAATTCAGTAATATGCTCAATGCATTTTTATGAAGAAAGTTTCGATAAATCGTCACAACATTATATTAGATTAAAAGCTGATGCCAACCCATATGTAAGATATATTGAAACTGTACCATTATCTATGTGTTTGTCTTGTCACTATCTGTCACTGCTCAGATGATTTTTGTAGAGATATTTCGGAAAAGTTTTTAATGCCAAGTAAATTACTAAAAATGCTGTACGTTGTGTGATGCATTTCTAGTATTTTACCACCTCGCAACCAATCCAGCAGATAGAAACGCACCGTGTGCCACTGGCTTAACATAATGGAGCCTTGAAAAAATGAAGGTGGCCAAACTGGAAAACAGTTACCTGCACTGGACGTCTATCTTCATTTTCGAAATTTCGATTGGCTAACGATGCAATTCTCTTGAATATAAAAATATAATTCATGTGTGGTTCTTTTACATAAACACAGGATTTTATTAAATTACATAATTTACAAAATTTTCTTATTACTGGGAGAATTTATGAAAAAGTATCTGATTTATTACAATAATTTTTACAAGAATCAGGCATTCAATATTGTATGTACACACATTTGCATCAAATAGCTATAAGATTAATAAATAGTTACATAATTATTAAATAAATAATTAATTAAATATATTTTGTGTTTACACGTACGTATGTTTGCGAATACGCACGTGTATGTCTTTTGATATAAATATATGGTAATTTATAATACTTTGAAAGGACGAATTTAAATATTTAATTACGATTCTTGTCCTATCGGTCCAAATAGATAGACTGCTGGACAGTTTTCATCGGGATTACCGAGAAATTGCGCATATAACTCCTGGTAACGTGACAACGTCAATCCACCGCGTCTTCTATCGTCATCCTGTCAATATAACGACTTTTTAAAGCAATCATTGTTGACAAAAAATAGACACCTATTGAAAATGTAATATTTCTTTCGAAAATTTAGACGATTATAACTGCACAAATTAAGTTTTTAAATTCAGACTCTAATGGTCCTTGTAAAGGACGATGAAATAAACATTTTTCATCGAGTGACCTGAAGTCGAAAATACCATCAATTATATTTAATTATTTTAATTAAAATTAAAGTAAATCGATCCAAATTACTTACATTCAACAGACTTTGATAAGCTTTGTCAAGGATGTCTATGTTGTCCACAGCAATTCTTGTAACGCAATCATATCGATATTCTTCAGCGCCAATTATACCATCATCTAAAATAAACATAAAATTTGAAAATTATTTTTTTCTATTCAAAATTATGTTTGCATAAATGTCTCTTATATAAAAAAAGATAATGTATGAGTTATCTCTAAATTTTCCTCTAAATTTACTTAAATCAATCTGGTTTTGCAGAAATAAAATATAATTTATTTATTACTTTCACATACGATGTGTTTTCTATACGTTCGGATTTGAATATGTTATACAATACCATTTATATCAAGTATTTTGAAGTGACTATCAATAAACTTCTTCATAGCCTGAGGAAAATCATTATAGGAACGGCCGACGCAGCTACTTTGTACAGCTTTTTTAAATTCATCCGTCGTTACAACGCCATTCTAAAAAAGAAACGAATCGGAAGAAATCAATTTTTTAAATGTACTTTCGTACAAAAAAATATAATAATAAAATATTAACGATTTTTACTTTCTGTCATTTGTTTATCAACTATATATCAACTAAAACTTCTAGAAATATTTTACGTTAATTACATGTTATAATTTATCAAAAATATCAAAGCTCTACTATTACAAGAGTTACTTTTTATATTTATTCATTGATCTAAGAGAAAAATTCGCATCCTTGAATATAAAAAATCAAATTTAATAGAAAAATTATTAAATTAAATTTAAAACTTATAGCAAAAGTTGTTTTAAATAATTTAATATAATTAGTTACAAAGTCTACGAATTTTTTCATTGATAATTTAGTTATAATTATTTGGGAAATACAAGCAATATTTGAACAATTCTGCAGACGATCTGAAGTTTAATAATCATAATTAAAGAAGAATTTCAAATTGGTGCAAGCTTTTAACGTGAGTCGTGCTAGCGGAGATGACTTGTGTAGAAACAATGTTTGATGACTTACTTTATCAAAATCTGCCAGGTCGGCTATTTCTTCCCATAAAGATAACATGATATGAAGATTTTCTTGATATCGATTGTAATTAAAATCGCCTTTGCCCTCGATCAGCGTCATTCTTAATGCCATACATTCAAAATCATGCTTGTCCAAACTTCCATTGTTATCTATGTCTGTAGTCATATATTTTCACTACATTTCTTTTTTTAAACTGCGCATTCTTTAGCCAATTTTCAAATTAAATTCTTTTTACAAATATGTCAAACATATATTTATTATTTAGATATAAATTGAAAATATTAAAAATATTTTTTTAAGCTAAATCTCAGAATAACAAATAGATAAAAAATTCTTAAGATAACGCAAGAGAATGCATTTGCCCAATAATGTATATTTAACAGAGAAAAAGAGAGAGAGAGAGAGAGAGTAAAGAAAAATATTATATTAATTAATTACTTACTGTTTTAACAACCAAATTTTACAGAATAATTTATTGTAAATTTATTTATGTCACAATTCATGTATATAAAGTTTATAATCTACATTATCTTTCTTCATAATATAAAACCGTACAAAAATATTTATTTTATACTTTAAATTTATTCTTTTGCACAAGCAATCATTTCTTTCTTGATCACCTATTTCTCAGTTTCACGATTTTGCGGCCTGCTGTCTCTTCACATGCTGTCACCATCATCTATTTATTATTTTTTCTTCTCTCTCTTTCTTTTTTTCAAATCCATTCAGACCATCCTTACAATATCTTTCACGTGTACTAACCATACAGGAATTTCACTATGAAATTAACACGATTATCCCAGCTGTATGCCATTGTGATCGTAATATTTTCTACCCTCTCTTTTCTTGAGGTGCCGAATTCTCGAGTGCAAAAAAATAAAAATCTTTCTTGTGTCACTTAACAAACTCTTTTCCAACTGAAAGGCGACGATCCGCGCGCGGGAAGTACGCTCGACACAGAGAAAGTGATTTGAGGATAGCGGTTTCGCACTGAACTCGGCTAGAATCTAATGAGGTCTAAACTTAGATTATCCCCTCTGAAACGAAGGACATGAAGGCGGTAGTATTGTACAGAGAAGAAACTCAAATGACGATAATGGCAGTGACAATAACACACAATAAAAGCAGAGAGACAAAATGCGCGTTCGCCAAACACATCACAAGGAACCTTAGATTCGTTTATTTTATAATTAGTCGAGCTGTGTCTTCGCTTCCTCTTCCATATTTCGTTTCTTGTATTGTGAAAACTTTTGCTTATCTAAGTGTGATATGGTATTATCAATTTATCACATCTTTGATAATTTTTTAATGATATTGCAAAGGTTTTCACACAAGATTCTCGCAAATAAAGTTTCTAAGAACAATTTCTGGAAAATATTGCTCTTTATCACGTTTACGCCATCAATATAGTCGATATACGATTTCCTTTCCAGCTCTCTTAAAGAAAATTTATTTATCAGGTACCACAAGAGAAAAATTCTCTCTCCCTCTGCCCTCCCCCCAAATATTTTGGCAACGTTTTACCAAAATATCGGTATTCTCTTGCAGAATTATTCTAATTTAAAAGCAGGTCATGTTCAAAGCAACGACTGTCTTTCTCAGCTACCTCGTTTTATCTTTATATTCTACCTAAATGTATTTTTGTACATGGTCTGTCTCTTCGACAGACACAGTAGTTCGTCACGAGATACACGTAATTATTTCTATGTTGTTGTTGGTGGTACAAAAATAAGCTCACGTGTAAGAAATGTATCTGTCTATTTCATAATATGTGATAGGTTTACAAGCATCTTCCTATTTTACTTTAAGAGACACATATTGTTCAACACATCATAGAATTTTATGTTCATCATTAAGATTTTCAAGCAAGTACGAGCAAATAAATAAATTGCGTAAATTAAACTTCAAATGTACAATATATAAATACATGTCTCAGTCATTTTTCATCTCAGATCCTTCTTGTTTATCTTTTTAAGAATAGATTTTAAATAAAAATTGCTTTTAATTCTCAAAAAAAGGACATAAAAAATCCCAAGAGTAAAAATCTTGTTTTAATTGATACGATTGTTAAATTAACAAGATTTCGTTTATATTGAATGCTGATATATCATTTTTTACCGTGTACTTTTTTTATTTGTTATCAAATTCTTTGAAGACGAATTCTTATGTAACTGCGATACGTACACGGTAGTTCATTAGACGTGTACATTGCCTCAAAAATACAAGAATTTTAGAATTAATTCATACAATAAATTAAAACAAGCTGCCAAATGTCAACATGATTAATTATCTACAATTGTGCTCGATCTTATACAGTTATTTGGCAAACATCCCTGTCGACAATAATTATGGTAGAATTGTTTGGATTCATTTCCAACTGTGTAATAGCGAGGATGATAGATGCGTAACTTATCTTACGGTAAAATAATGCAAATACGTTGTTATTTTCCGGTGATGTGATTTTCCGTGATGCTCTCTTAACGAAATATGATTTAATTTTTTGTCTTTGAAATTCATAGTTTAAAATTTATCAATTGGGTTCCCAATTAATTAAATTAATTGGGACAGAAATCACAGAAACTTCGATTTTGAAGGAGGAAGAGCCAAAAAATTGCGTACTTGGTCGCTGTCCATCAGTTGAATTAGTAAAGCATTGTTATTTACACATCGTGACACTGTTTTCAAGAATCTAAAGATTTACTAAGCGCTTAAAATAATATTTAACATTTTGCTAGGAATGTATTTATTATATTATATAATAAGTAGTTATTTTAATTGAAAAAAATATATAAAAATATTGATTTCACGTGGGATGAAGCTGTTGCTCGTTCGTTCGACAACTGCGAACTGACTCCGGAATATTAACTTATCTTTCCTTACCTCGTAATTTCCTTCACCCGCGAGTATTGAATTTTCACAATTACAGAATCAAAACATGACGTCACGCATTCCAGCTTAACTATTAAAAATTTATTATATAACTTCGAAATTCTAAGTACAACCGAGCAACAAGAAGAGGAAGAGGAAAAAAATAAAAAATAAAAACAATTTATCTGTGAACAATTTTCTTCATAAGATTTTCTCACATTAAGCAATAAATGTTTTATTTCTTTACAAATTATTTTTTAATTTTTGCACATGTTATCTGTTTCACTAGAAAATATGGCATTGCTATGTGAAACTTTCGCAATAATTCTTTGATAGTAAAACATAAAAATAAACTGAATTATACATTGTGAATTTTACAATCGATATAAAATCATTGTGCAACTATTATGTACTGTAGCTTCCGTTAACTTGTAAAGTCCAAAAGAATAATCAAGCAAAGCACTGCTGTACGCCTGATAATTCGAACTTATTGTGTTTTTTTCTTTCTTCTTTAAGAAATAATTATTTTTTATTAGCAGCAAACGTTAGTTTTCTTTTTATTTGTATCATTTCTAATTTTCTTTGGTCTGTTACAAACATTGTAAAACTTCTGTATGGATTCGATAAATCAATAAGCAATATAAAATATCAATATTCTAGTAGAAAATAACGCGATCAATATTTAGTATTCAAAATATCGACATTGCTATTACGAGTGAAAATAATCGGCTTGGAAGGAATCTGCGCGGTTTACCAGTGAAACGAACACTCGTCATATAAGACATACTTTCGTACGCAGCCGTCAGTTTGAAAGTATCAGCTATCGTGTATAGAATCCGTACAAATTCGTGTGTGGGAGAGATCAATATGAAATCGAAACTCTGTTTCGTGCTAATTACGTTACTGACCATTTCCGGTAAGTTTGCAGTTTGATAATTTTGCTAATGTATGTTTTTCTTGATTTCAAATTGTGCAAACTTGATTTGTAAACGTAAAAACTTCAAATTTTGAAACATGACTTGAATTTAAGAATATCAAGTAAAGAATGTACAATATTTTAATTATAAAAATTGATTGAATTAAATTATAGCGTGTTATATGCATATTAAATTTTCTGATCGCACAACATACATGGTTTTCAATAATGAGAGAACATGAATATCTAAAACCATTGCCTCGCTAGCAAACATTGGCACTTTTGACAATAATCTTTTTATAACAAAAGCTGTACTGTAGCTTATAGAAATGTAAAACATTCGTTTATTTAAGCATCCGTTTTAGGTTTAAAACTAATCTCTTTTTACCTATTAAAAATTGAAGATTTTATAGAAAATAATGTTGACTTCAATTTCAACCTTTCAATTTTATAAGCGGAATAAAAACAGTAAGTTCAAAGTGATTTTGCAAATTGATTTTGAACCATGACGCATTTGGAAAGTTTCAATTCTGTTTTTGCTTTCGGGTGAAAACGATGGTGCTAATCGCGCCGGATTTCTCTTCAGATAAGTGTATGTCGCTACAGATCCGTTTACAATCAGTCGAAAGGGGGGAGGGGGGATGTGAAAGTATCACGCACCTAAAGTAATCTCATAGCCATGAGATCTTGGAATAGTTTCCGATGATATTCACTTTACGAAAATGATCTGTACATTTTAACGGTAAACTTACAAAATTTCAAAATATTCAGGTCATTATTTAAAATAGAATATTATATATATTACTAGTTAAATTTATAAAAAAGATTATTATATCGCACTATTTTTAGCAAGTAACACAGTGGAGGAAGAACATTCCGAAGATGTTCCTTGTACAGATAACAACAAATTTTATCGGAATCCCAAAACACCGTCGCATAGCGTTTGGGCACCCACGGAATGTGCCAAATATTTCCTTTGTTTAGGTAATTTTAAATCATAGAAAATGATTTACTTAAAGAGTTGGGAATGATTTCATAACTATCAATTAATTTTAATTATTTCCTTCTCCGTTCAAAAATAAAAGTAGAAAAAAAACTGTACTTTTATATATCCCACAAATAAACAGCTAATTGAATTACATTTCAGATAATGAAGTGTTCGAATTCAAGTGCTCGCAAGGACTCCTTTTTGACATTTCCAGACAGATTTGCGATTTTAAAACAAACGTCGATAATTGTGATATAACTTCCGGTATAAAAATTTACTCTAAATCTATTGAAATGTGAAAAGAGAAAGTTTGGCAAAGTTCTAAGATTTTTAGAGTATGTCTAGACAGAACAAAGATCGACATTTCTTGTCACTAATTGCCTGTAAAGAAACGTACAACGAATTACTGTATATTGAATAGTGATGTAAAATCTTAAAAGCTTTTTGTAGATACTCAACCAGAGAAATCATTGCTCAAGAATAGTGAGTGTAACGAGAAAAGTTTGGTATGCGGAGATGGTATGTGCCTTCCGGCTCTGTACTTTTGCGACGGGAGCGTCGATTGTTCCGACGGTTCTGACGAAGGATGGTGCGGTAAGAAATACAAAAATATGCGTAAATATAAATTCTTGTCTCGTCATACGTTGCAAACTTCTATATTGCGAAGATAGTTCAATCGCACTAAAGATTCAATTGCAATAAATATCCAAATACACATATGAAAACTGATACTTTTATCGATACAAATAATTAAAAGAAAATTTAATTTTATAGTTTCACAATTTTGCACTATTTTATGGATTTGAGTTCTATAAGGATATCTTGATAGCTTGAGGATTATTTCGATTTTACAGAATAAAAGTAAAATAACAACGACATGGTGCACGTGAATCGTTAACAAAAATATTAATTTGCAACAGACATGCAACACGATGCGAACGCAGCGCCGGATTGCGACACACAGAAGTGCAAACTGCCAAATTGTTGGTGTTCCAAGGATGGAACCCGAATTCCGGAAAATCTCAGTGCATCTGTGGTTCCACAAATGATAACAATCACTTTTGATGACGCTATAAATGCGGAAAATTTCGACTTCTATTCAAGTAAATTAATAAATTTTTCTTAACAATAAAATAAATTTTATTATCGTGTTCTCTTTTTTTCTCTTTCAGTAAATCTGCATTTATCTGAATTAACATTGGTATCATTTGGCGACAATGAATTTATGCATTAATATTAACAATTTTTCTTATTTTCTTTAGAGTAAAAAAGATTTTTTCTAAGAAAAAAATTTATAATAAAGAAAATCACTACATAATCTTTTGATCATTTACAGGAATTTTTACGGATGACAGAAAAAATCCCAATGGCTGTCCTATAAAAGGTACTTTTTACATTAGTCATCAATACACAAATTACAGGAATGTGCAATATTTGTGGAATACCGGCCACGAGATAGCTGCACACTCAGTTACGTAAGTACTTACTTCAATACCTTGAAAAAATCATTAAAGTAAATTAGCAAAGCAACGACAAAAATGCATTAAATAGCGCACCAAAGTTCGAAAATCATTTATGGCTCCTAGAACGCTTTATATCTCAAAATCATATCAATTTGTAATGTAAAGTTAATAATTAGTGCTCGGAAATTTTAGTCAGAATTTTAATTTATCACTTAGGCATCGTGGACCGAAAGAGTGGTGGTCGAAGAATGCAACAATCGAAGACTGGTTCGACGAGATGGTTGGAATAGCGAACATTATCAAGAAATATGCAGCGGTTCGTATCGACGATATCAAAGGTAGAAATATTGTTTTTAATTCGACTGTAATTTCAAGATTGAATTGAAAAGGAAAGATCTACACAACAATTATTGGAAAAAATTTCTCTTTTTCATACAAAAAAATATAAAAATATGTACATATTTAAATGTAAGATATATAAAATTATAATTTAATTGATATATAATGCTACATAGAGAATGAATGTAATTAAACCATCTTATTTGAGATGTCAAGTGTTTATTAAAGCAATTTTCTATATCACAGGATTAAGAGCCCCTTTTTTACAAATCGGATGGAACCGCCAATTTCTGATGATGTCTGAATTTGGTTTCGTTTATGATTCCTCGATTGTCGCACCATTCTCTGATCCACCTCTGTGGCCCTACACGCTCGATTATAGGCCGCCGCATCCGTGCGTTTACGCGGAACAATTGTGCCCAACCCGTTCTTATCCGAACATCTGGGAACTGCCTCTAAATCAGTTTTTGGTGAACGTAAGTATAATCACTATACGCGCGATAGAATAAGAATTTTTTTGACTGAACGGACTTCGATCCGTTCACAGATTTATTTATTTACATTTGATCAAACGCGTAGCAAAAAGCGATTCCTGTTCTTAAAAATGATGTTTATTGGAGTTTCTGTTTAGGAATATACTTGCGCCACTATAGACAGGTGTCCTTCTTCTTTATCTGGAGAAAAGGTTTATGAAATGCTTATGCTGAATTTTAAAAGGCATTATCTCACCAATCGTGCACCTTTCGGCTTACACCTTCACGCATCATGGTTTCGAAATCCAACATACTTTTATGCTTTTAATGTAAGTAGAATTTTAAAATTATTTCTTTCTTTGTATGATTATCATCGAATGAACTTGATATTTATTTTGAATTGAGCTCAAATATGAGATTAATGAAGATGTTCGAGACGTTACATTTATTTTTTTTTTAAGTTCTTATTTTTGTTGTACTTATTTTACATTTGAGAATCTTAACATCTTTTTTTATACGTTAAATTTTGTGATCAATTAAAAATTACAGCATTAAAAAATATAGAAATGTAACATGATTTTTTATAATTCAAGATTTGTAACTTTTATCTAAATATTTGTCTAATCTTTTTATCAATTTGATAAATTATATCCCTTATGATAAATTATTTCTGTTTAATCAACAATATTTTCATATGTGCAACTAGAAATTCATCGACGATCTACTCCGATTGGATGATGTATTTTTTGTCACAAACCACCAGATTATAGAATGGATGCGCAAGCCAACATCCCTTAACGACATCGAAAAGTTTGCACCTTGGCAATGTACAAAACGACATTTTGAGTCATTTGAAATCGCCTGCGATTTGCCGAATAGTTGCAAATTATCTAGTAAAGTGCTCAAGTCGCATAGATATTTATATACGTGTTTTGAATGCCCGAAACAATACCCGTGGTTGAGAAATGAATTCGGACTCTAGTGAAAATGTTAAAAGCACATCTTATATCGCTTATGTATCATTGAAATGATTATATAGTATTTTATTTATATTATTTATTATAACTATAGATATAAAAATGTGTATTTTTATAAGAAACTTGCTTTTATTTCTTATAGATGTAAACTATTCTTATTTATAATATAAAATAAATTATATTTTTTATTTAAAAAAAAATGGAAATAGCATCTTCTTTCGAAAATATAATGTGTATTAATTGTGTAGAGACAAAACTTAGCTTGTGTAAAGAGACAAAACTGCTTATCCTTCTTGTTGTATAAATGGATTTTGAATAGATTCCATACCATCTACAGGACAAATAAGCACTACAGATGTGCCTCTGCATACTACTAAACCCAACATACGAGTATCTTGATTCAACTTATACGGATCATCTGGATCTGCACAATTCAAACAATTGTTTGATAAGATTTAAAAATCCAATTTTTAACACACAGATAGAGTTAATAAACAACTCAATTATTCAAAAATTATATATACATAAATATATAAATCTAATCTAAATCTATTATCTAAATCGTGTTATAATCAGCAAAGTATTAAATTATCATTAGTTACCTCTAAGATATTCTTTAGTGTTATCAAGCACCAGGTTGAGTAAAGGATCGTAACCTTTGAGGATACCTTCAGCTTCTCTACCTCCAGCAAACTTCACCCTTATGTTCTTCTCAAGGTACTTCGAGAGATCAAGAATACTCTCTTTCCTCTTCTTCTCCTTGTGCTCGACATTCTGTTGCTATAAACATGTAAATAATGCGCTCAAGTTTGTAGTTAGTTCAATACTTTATGATGTATTACCTGCTTCGTTGCCTGTAAAAAGAGGTTATAACTAATAGATAAACCTAAAATAAGTTTATAGAAAAATAAAAAGTACATAGATTACTTACAGACATCTTTATATGTAGTCACACGAAAAAAAAACTAAATCAAGAGCGATCAACTTTTACCAATCAGCAACACATTCCAAAATTATTCTCATAATTATTCCAAATTTTATGTTTCCTCACGAGCTCATACACGGAACCGGTAAAAACATTGGTTAATCGAGTATCGACTTTATCCGCGTTCACAATCGATTATTTTAAATCGAGATATCGAGAATATATATCTTTCACCGGGAAATGCTAGAAAAGATTAATTTTATTATTTTCAACTTTTCTGAGTGCATTTTGTTTGTAAGTGATTTTAATGACACTCTGATTACATAATTCAACAAAAAAAACATAAAAATGTTAGGTTAAGTATCATTTTGATACTGTGTGAATGCTGCTAAATACAATTTTAAGAAATTCAAGATTAAAGTTGTTGAAAAAAGAATTTTGATGTTTTTTACCGAATTATAACTATGTGACGTGTTAAAAACTTTTTATTTTTTAAAATAAAGTACATTATTAGGATTTTTAACCCTCAATAGAAATTTTTTGTTTACATTATGGTTAGTAAGATTTTTATGATTAAATATTATGTCTATTAGATTGCAAGTAAATAATCATATCTTATGCAAACTAGAAATCTCTTAGTTATATTTTAGTATATCGTTGCCGCAATTATATTTTACGTAAATTCATAAAACCCAAGATTGGTATGTAAAAATAAGAACACCTCTTAAAAGCTTGAATTTATTCATTTCTGACTTTATAAAAAAATATATGTCAATGCATAATATATACGTGAATAATATAATGAGTAAAGCGTGACTGCCTTTATATATACAATGGCGGGCTGAAGGAAATTTTTATTTATATATTTGAAAACACGATTTAAACAAATTGTTACTAATATTACTTCTGATATCAAAAAATAAAAGAAAATAATTTAGTGTACAATTATTTTTTATTGTTTCCTAAATACTTATTTACAAAATTTCTGAACTAGCATGTTTAAAACTTTTCTCCCATTTTATTTTGTAAAATAAAATGGATAATGTATCTTACGATATAATTTATATATATATATTGTATATATAATTGTTTAAATCATATACTATTCATGATATTTGTATATTGTATATTATTGTTAATATTTATTAACCATGTTTCTTTTGCAATTATAATAGCGAAACAACGGCAAAGCATGGAATTGATCAAATATTTAATGTAATCGAAAAAGACTTTATTCCTCAATTAAAGCTATAAATAATTTTGTCTTATTTCAGTGTTTTTATCTTTTGACTCGACGTTTAATTTCTCTCATAAGTGTTCAATTAGATTTAGAGCCGCTGATTGAAAAATAGCTAGTTCAAAACTTTTATATTTTTAAAAAACAACTATTCCTTGACTGGTTTTGAAGTGTGTGTGTTTCGGATCGCTGTTATATCAAAACATAGGAACCTCAGATGCATACAGAATTGACCACAGCACAGTGTGAAAAAAATGGACACAGTGAAAGTTGGACAGATGAGAAAATATGGAAACATATAAAAATTAGAAAAACGGATACAAAGTTCGAAATATCTCGCCTTGCATGTAAATAGCAAATCTATGTGAAATATTGTAATACAATTATAAATTTCACGTGATTCCTTGGTGTCTCACATCGATTCCAAATAGAATCAATTTCAATGGATTAAAAAAAAAACGATATTTTAATTGTAGAACAACTAATATTAATAGTATTTTTTTTGCGTTTTTTTAACTCGCATGTTCGACGAGATGAACTAATACAGACAGAAATGTCTGTATTTAAATTGTCGCAAAATATTTGAATATACAAAATCAGCACATATAACCGGCTCTATTGCGACTTTATTGCCCCTTTATAGTTATTTGATTGAGCAAATCAATAGAGCCTTACTAAATTTTATCTTCCTTATTGTTGCACAATAATACGAATTATATATTATCCCGTTATATTCTCATTGCATTTCCAAAATTAAACGTAAATCTTTTTATACATGTTTTTATACATTTTTATATAAACTTATGCTTGCTATTCCTTAACTAAATCTGCACTATATTGGGCTGATCAAGAAGTTTCTTCGAACTTTTCGATAAAAGTAAAAGGCAAACTTTGTTTAATTAAAATATTTATTAGTCAATGTATGCGCCATTTTTCGGACCTTTTGAATCGTCTCTTCTCATTTTTGAAGAGGATTCCATTCTACCAGAATTTTTCTGAGCGAAGAAGTCATCGAAGTATCTTCCGCGAACCTTCAAAGAATTAAAATTTTCTCCATTGAGAGAGAGTTTTGCAGCGAGTAAAATGCATAATAATCGTGGCGCAATGTCAGATAAGTATGATGGATATGATAACGCCTTTTATTGTGGCAATCCGGAGGCACTTCCTGATCAATCTCAATATTTTGACTAGTGTGCCTTACATGTCATCGTATCATTTATGTTTCTATACAATTGTGCAATATTGTCCTAACTGCTTCTCTCGTAATGGATTTACTTGGATGGACGTATTATCCCATCTCGAGAAAATTTATAAGTATAATAATAAAAAGTACGTTTTCTATATAGCCCAAATTTTTGTAATGTATTTCACTCGTCAATAAATTTCGATGTATCGAATGCACATCGACATTTCGCCGACGGGACGCGTAAAATTTGCGCGCTGTACTTGTGTACTGTGCGCTCCGCGAAGCACACGCAAGCGGGTCTTGGTGTGCACATCATCCCCTTCACTACGGACGCGTCTCAATCCTGGCATCGTTGAGTCTGACATAGACTTTACGGACGCTAAACTATAAAACACAGTTTCGAATCATAATGCACAAAGATCTAGACACGCGCCTGCTCCGAATTGTCAAAATTTCGTTCGGCTTTGTGTGTTAAGGCATTATTGATCTCGTGTATGCATCCTGAATACATTTTGAATATGTATAACTTTATGCGATAAGGCATACATAACGCCAAATATATCAGAGTTATATTAAAATATGCGTATGTATAGGCGCGCGCGCGCGCGTGTAGAGAGGGGAAAAGAGGAGGAATCATCGCGTACTTGAGTCGAGCAACAATTTAGATCATATGTCATGTCGACTGTCGATCCTCTTCTTGTTCGGCGAATAAAGAAACGGATGACGATTGATCAACATTATTGGTTTCATTCTCATCTTGCTCGGCAAGCAGCGGCACCTGCTGTTGATTATTATTGCCAACTTCCGAGGATCTCTTGCTCTGTCCTGGCAAGAAGGACATTGGTATCGCACTTGAAGGCGTAGTCGGCGCGGAGCGCGACAGCCACCGTTTTGTTTTGCTTCGCGAACTCGGCAATCCTAATGGCATATACAGTTTGCCTCTAGTTCTTTTGATTCTGTACGAGCCAATGTCGCTGGGAGTTAAAGGCCGTTGTTGCGTAGTACCATCACTATTAGTTACGTACAAGACCGGTGCCTGGTTCTGCTGACAATGCATAGTGGTGGCAAGTCCGTCAGATAAATGAGGGAGTTGCTGTATTTTGTCCAACAATTCCCGCAACTAGAAAATAAACATAAAACATGAGGCATTGTGACGCAATAAGGAAAATATTAGGAATAGAGATTAAACGTAACGCACAATGAAAAAAAAATATATATAAAATATAAATATATTACTAATCTGTTATATGCAAGAATCACAGATAAGCTAATCATAGAATTTAATAGGTCAATTTTAAGCTTTTATATTTCAAAAACTATTGCTTAGAAAATTGCAAAGACTTTTTGATTTAGTTGTTTAAGAACTTCCTCCTATTTTGATTCGTAAATATTTAATATACACAGGGTATCTCAGAACAATGTGTCACAGACAGAGGAGAGTAAACCGAACACAAAAGTCCTTAACCGTTTTGCAAATTTCGCAATAATTGGTAAGATATTCGTTCACGAGCGTTGTCGTGTTTGAGACATTTTGTATATCAAGATCTTGTGTATAGATTTGGCAAATATTCTTTAAAAAAATATATAATGTCAAGGCATACCTCTATCGTTGGACTGGTAGCTCTCGGCGGAGAGCAAGGTGATTGAGCAGCTAGACTTGATATGTCAGAAGTTGTTCTGTGATTTGTCAAAGAGACAACCGAACCGGTATCGCCAATTTCTCTTCTCTCGCAATCCACTGCTGATAATTCATCAACACTATTATTGCATGAGTATGGTGGTGGAATAATAGTGTTCGCTTCGTTTACCACGTTGCACATAAAACTAGAGCTCAATGAATCCAGTGTGCTGGCATGAGACAATGATCTAAAGTAGCGCATCACAAAACCGGAAGTTCCTTTGCCCAAACTATTGTCGTAACCAATTACCAATGGGTAAAGATCTGGTTTTGCAGTCACCTAAGCATCAAATTACATGGTAAAAATAAATTTTGAATTTTTTGAACTCACTCATTCAATATAATTACATAAATAAGTGAATAAAAACATCTACAATATTTGTATTAATATGACAACTTGCTGTTATGTGACAATAAAAATATCAATATTTTTCAAATTTTAATTAAAAAATAAATAATACTATAATAATAGTTAAAAGATTAAAAAAATAATAATGGTTTGCTGGACATATAATTCAAGAGCTTTAATTTTAATGACAAATTATAAATAATTGAATAAACTCACCGACATAAGTGATAAAAAAAGTTTGACTTTATAAAAGTGTGACTTTAAAAGTTTGTTTATAAAAAAAATACCTATAATCACTGGTGGATCTTAAGAGGGGACCCCCCTCCTTTCTTTGGGAGGTTGGGTTTGGAGTTAAAACCTCCAAGTTAAAAAAAAATCAATTTTGCTGGATTCGTTTAAAAAATCTTAGTAAAAAATGCATTAAAGCAGGTCGATACTCCCTCCATTATCGGCATCAAGATCCGATAGTGTCTATAATAGACCTTTTAATATAGAAGATTACAAAAATAAATTGTCCTCGTCATTCTATACATAAGTCGTTTAAAAAATTATCAGATTGAAGTAAAATAAATATAGAAATCTCGGAAAATATAAGTTACATAAATTTTTAATATTTTTCATGTGATCTAAATTTTTTTCTCTATTGTTGAACTAAATGAATCCGAAATTGTGAGGTCCAAAACGGCTTAATTTTTCCGTATAATAATTTATAGTTTTTGTGTTCCAGCATTCGCCCTTCCGGCTTACAGCCTCTTTTATCGTTGTTCAGTAATAAAATAATATAATAAATTTTCAAATACCTCATTATATGGTGGTGGTAACGCCTGAACGAAGGAACTACATCGGCTATAATGAGGAGGTGGATACCATGGCCCTGTGGAAGTTCTTTCCGAAGATGTGCAATCTTCCGATAGCGCTAAACTACGACGACGTTTCCATAGCCAAAATCCGCATGTTGCAGCTATAGCCAATGCTGCAAGCACTGCTACCCTGTAAAAAAAATTATTATTTCATCTATTAAATTAAGCGTAAATTTTTGCAATAATTATTGAAAAATTAATTTAAAAAGATTGGGGGCGCATTTCGCGCGGCTAAGCCGTGAAATATACGCTCTGACAGCGGCCAGTGATAAGTTTGGCGCGTGGCGAAGGCAGAGATAACGCGCGAACAGCGAGCGAGCGGAAGCTTTACTTTTCGTTGCCGTGCGATATTTTAGCGAACTCTTTTAATTACTTTTTTAATAAAAATTTTGATGTTGTACAACTTAAAAAAAAAGAATTTATCCTACATCCGATATAAGTAATTAAAGTGAATACCAACCACAGATACCAGTAAGTCCAAATCAAGAAATTAAACATCTCTGAAACATGGGGATGCACTGGTGTAAAGACACTGTAACAACAGCCCAAAGCACAACACTCTTTTGGAGGAGAGCAGCTGAAAACAACAAATTTTTTCCTTATTATTTACATCCTGTTTTACACATTTCAGTTCTTATTTATAAAATAAGAAACTTACACATGCCCTCCATCGCACAGCCTAGAAGACACCTTAAAAAATAAAATATTCATTAATCGCAGGCGGCAAAATTACTATAGTTTAATCTAAAAAAATTCTAAGAAATCGAGATGGACTTTTAATTAACTAGATAAATAATTAAATGTCAATTTAATGTAAAAGTGTAATTCGTAAAATAATATTTTGAACTAAGGAAACACAAAATTGTTTTCAGCATACGAGATCATAGAAGAGAAACACTGCAGAATTACGAAATCACCCAAAAAAGTATTTCTATCAATAATTTTTTCTATTTATATTGTAAAAAATCATGACAATGATTTTCACACGATACAATAGCATTTATATAAATAAGAGCGATTTTTATGCCAGCAGTGCTTTTCGTGAATCGACAAGGGATCGCAAAACGGCTAGACAGCTGCTCGCAATGGCTAATTAACCCATTAAAGGCCATAATTAAAAGACATATTTTAGTTAAATTAAAATCGCTTTTTTCCTACAGTTTTCTCAAATCAAAATAAATATATAACTTTTACTAATTTCCTTCTTCGAAAGATTGCGTTTCATTTTAAGAATGCTGATTATTTTGAGCAAAATAAGTTAAGACACGGAGAAAAAAAGTTGAATGTTGCGAATATTTCCTTCAAAATTTACTGATTTTTGTAAAAAATAAACGCTATTCATCATTCTTGCCGAAAAGATTTAGCTTTATAACTGTAGTAAGGAAATACAAGAGTTTAAAGATGTCATGTATTGTCAAAAATTTGTTGTCATAGTTTATTCCTTATAATATAATTATAAATAAAGGAAATCCTGTGTTAGAAATAGGATATGTTAACCGTTAATGGGTTAAAACGAGCATGGTAAAGACTTACGCATGAATGGCAAGCACAGCGATGTATTGATCGAGAGCGCGAGGAGCCGTACGAACAAGGGCTGTACAGACGAGGGTACGAAACACATCTCCGGCCGCGTTTCTTTCGCGTTCAAAACACGTTTACACGTTATTTTGCACACGTGGAGTGAGATAATGCAATCCGATCAGCTACGAAGCGTATTTTTCGCGCTTATTGCCATCCTTACTTGATCGACGAACAACAGCAGTGTCAGCGTCAGTGTGGTCGTCACGAGTGGTGCATGAAATACGCGGCTCTTCGCAGCTTGTATCATAGTTCTGTCACCAATTGCCGACTGTGTGCACGTCGCCGTATCACTTTGTACAATCAAGCTCCGCGTATTTTACTTGTATATTTGCAACGAATTTACCATTTCTCCCTTTGTGCCACTTCCCCACTACATCACCATTTGCCCGACCACGTGACCGCATTAGAGTAAGAAAGCGAGTGAAAGAGGGAAAATACTATGCGGCATGGTACTATCTGTTCTGCGCTCGCTTTCTTATTCTAACATGATCATGTAATCAAATAAATATGTGATAAAAAAATTGTGTAAAAAAAAAGAATATTTAATTTACAGAACTTCCACTCGTTAACTGTAGAGAGATCCAAATGCTTAATCGGCCACAGAAAGTTCGCAAGATCGCAAAAATACTCTTTCGTTTAATGAATTTCAGGATGCATCAAAATTGTGAGAACGAGGATAATTTTACGTGTAAAAAAAAGTCATATAGTTTTATTTATGTTTCATAAAAGTGCAACTATGAAAAGAATCATCAGCGAAAAAATGCAACTAATTAAAATCGTGCAATTTTTCTTCTATTACTTTTTTTTTTATTTTGCATGGAAAAAAAAGATATAACTCATTCTACTTCCTGAAGTCACTCTATATATGAGCACTGATGGAGTATATATTTATTAACCCTTTCATTGCGGTGTAACTTCAATCAAAAAGCGCTCGCTTTGTGCGGCATATTCGATCGTGTGACGCTGAAATGAATTAAGGTGCCTTTTCACCCTGACGCTCGGCGCTCAATTTCAATGTGAAAAGATATCACGTGACCGAAAACTACTGCAACGGTTGGTTACTTTTGCTCATGTGACGTCGAGCGACCTTCGTTTCAGCACTGAATTCCGATAATTTTACATATATAAATGGATTTTGTAATCAGTGCGCATATTTACAGCGTCCGCAAGCGAAGAGACATATATGTACGGCATTTGTGCAATCGCGAGGCTACTCTTTGACGATTTACATACACATTTTACGAAAAATGACGAGATAATTTTAAATTGTAAAATTGCTAATCGATCGGATTTAAATTCTTTCTTTTTCTAATTAAAATTCTAGGAACAAAATGCTAATCGAACTCTTAAGAACATTGCGATTGTTTCGCGGGGTATACAAAATTGTCCAGAAAGATTTTAGAACGCAACTATTTGGACAAGAAAGCTGGACAAAAGCTCAGAACTTCAAAAATGATTCGAAACACAAGGAACAGACGAATTCGCATTCGCACCAATCATAAAAAATAACGGAAGAGCGTTATAGCGAAAGGGATTTTGCAAATTGCGAGGAGCAAGGGAGTGAATCCGATCGTTTACGCCAGCTAATATAGCGCAATATATTTCCGAACCGAGCCAGAGCGATCGAATCCTCAAAATGTGAATAAATAACACAAGACAGAATGCAATTTATGGTACAAACGAGAAAATTTATTTATATTTACGTGATAACACCATACGCTTTGCATATTATTTTAGATGCTTCTCTGAATTTTTTCTTAATTCTATATTAAATCAATTTGATGCCCATCTTTTTTACTTCACCATACTTCATATTAACGAGGCTTCTCTATTGATATGCAGTTTGCCGTAGACATGGTGCGGTATAAATCGAAGAACGTCAATCACGATTAATACTTTTCAAACGAACCAAGGCGTATTTTTTTTTTTTTTGCGGAAAAGGTATCGCTTCATATATACATTGAACACATACATTTCCGCCGATCAATATACGGAACTTATACAGTTTTACAACATACTTCGATACGATTTATAACATTTAACACAATCATCTTTCTCCTTTCGCTTCTTACGCATTTGTTTGCATTCAAGTACACCGTAAGAATAATTTGAGGAATTAACAGCTTCATATTTTTTAGAGAGTCCCTACCCCATCATACAATATTTATTATATGTACCGCTTGATGATTGTATAAAAGTTATGCCTCACATAAAATATTTACGTTCAAACGCGTGACGAGAGAATCTCTTAATCAGGGAGCAAGCATCAAGCATGAAAAATGCATCGATGTGATGACGCGATCGATTCACATGCTAGTTCTGTTATATCGTATATACACGGACAAAAGACACTATTACAGATTCGCCACACAAGTCGAGCAGAAATGCTGTATTTCTCAGTAGAAAACTCACACTGACAAAGCGTACTAGTAAATAAAATTGACAAATCTATCACTTACTGCAAAACCTAACGCTTAAATATAATATAAATTACCCCATTTCTCCGCGTAATTCACAAAAACCTTATCTAAATATTTGGCCAGATCATAAAAAGTTCATAAGCAACTGGTGATTAAATTTTTTATTAGTATGATATATGAAATATGTTTGTTTTAACCGAAATTGTAAAGATTTCCGCAATTCCAGTCTAATCGTATGTTGAAATTGCATCTTTCTGCATTATAGGCATTATAGTCCAATACTTAAAAAAAAGCAATAAAAAAAGTATCTCGTAGGTAGCTTTAATTAAACAATGCAAAACTGCAGGTGACATTTAAAAGGCCGCTTAGATTTTATTCTAAAGAATACTCAAATAACTTGGAAAAAAACGAAGTGTTACTTTAGTTTAAATTTAATACTGAGTTTAATACTTAAACTTGCAATAAATTCGAAAAACTTGACAAAATAAAACAATATTTATTTAAAATATGCACAAAACATGTATGTCCGCGTATTGAATTGATTGATACTGATATTTTTATTAGAATAAATATTCAATGGAAATTTAATTCTTACGTATCATAATAAAAATCTATAACACTTTTATCTGACTGAAGAGACGCACATGACTTCCAAATCAATATACGATTTCATATTATTAAGCATTCGAAAATAGAATTCGTAAATTCGAAAATGATCATAAAGTATCTCAAATAATTTCAAGTATATTAATGCAGCAAAACAAAAAACGAATGGTTCGGTAAAATTCGGAACGAATAGACCTGGAGTCTCCAATCGCTATGGAACTTATGCGAGTTAATGTGAGATTTGAAAACTTGAATCCTGATATAGATATCGCATTCTTATTTACGGACAACTATTATACTAACCCCAATAATAGATTTTTTATTCGATGTGTATTGTACATCATTCATTTTTCACATTACACCTCGGCTATGGACGGCTTAAATAAGAATAATTACATTTAGTTAGCACAAAGTCCAATACGTATCATGCGTGAAGTTTCAAAGTGTAATGTATATGCGATGTTTTTTTTTTTTGTTTTGTTTTCCATCACTTTCAAATATTCAAATTTATTTCTTGTGTAAGTTACGTATTAGAAAAATCAATCATTTTATTCTCTTAATTATCGATATTTTATGCCATATTTAGGACAATATAGTAATCTGATATCAATATCAGAACGAAGGTTCACACCTCACTTTGATTGCATTTGCGTTAAAAAGAGGGAAATGCATTTCATATTCGTTACGTTTATTATATTCTCTATAAATTCACGTAACGAGTAGCACAGAAACAAATTTTTCATTCTAGATAAATTATTCTACCTAAGATCGATCGTATGATCAGTCGTCTGCAATTGCAAGACCATTTAGAATACGCAATCTGTGACAATCTAATAATATCAAATTAAAAAAGATCTTGTCCAAAGAAAGTAATCAAGACCAATTATAATTAAATATTATAAATCTTTTCGTTGCTAAAATAGGTGCCAGATATGAACGATAGATGGACATATTCACCAGTCTCGGAAAAGTTTGTAAAAACAATATGTAACTTATCTCTTTCTTTAAAGCTTTCCGTAATTTTTTTGAAATATTTTGAAAGAAAGAAAGAAAAAAAAGAGAGAGAGAGAGAGAGAGAGCTCGTGCGACTCTTTCGACTTACAACAGCGCCAGGTTAAAAGGACAGTATCGATGGTTACCTTAATAGATCCGTTTCAGTCTTTCTAAGTACAAAAATTGCACCCGATTACATCGGCGACGAATGATTTGTCATTAAAACATTACATAGTGATCAGTCACATCGATGGAGTTCATACTGGCGTAGGAAGTGGTCGGGTGTTGACGGCTATCGTTTTCGAGAAGAGGAGAATCCGGCTGGTCACGTTTGTGACGTCTAGCTTCACCTCCGCTCGCATTTTCGCGGGCTCTTCTACGCCCTCGGCGCGACATCACGCCTGCAAGCACAAGCGAACAAATGCACATTAACTATTTCAAAATATCCGGTCCAAGTAGTCATTCTCGTAACGCAATTATCTACTACACACCTAACCACACTTGACCATACAATAATTAGTAAATTGTCTATTCAGATGTGTACACATCAATATTCTCTGAGTAATACATATTATTACTTCTATATACAGGGTGATTTGTAATTTGCAAATCAGAATACTACAGCAGGAAAGTGCTTAAAAAACTGTGCTCTACGATTAAGCGATTTAGCTGTGAGTCGCGCATTTGAATATTAGCGACTCATGAACGATTGACTGCTGAACTGGATTAGCCAATTTTAAACCCTAGTATTTCAAGAATTATCGCTCGGGTTGAAAAATTGTAGTTATTTTTTTGTCATTTAGTTTTTTGAGAACTTACCTGCTGTAATATTTTGATTCGCGAATTATGGAACATCCTGTATATAGAAAGAAATAACTCACAAGACAAAACTGAACATCTTTTCATGCGATACTAAGTAATGTATACACGCGTTTTTTGTTTCAGATACAATATATCTTCAAACATTTCGAGCAACTAATGCGACAATATACGTTAGCTGAACTGTTCACGTTCGATATCTCGATAGTGGAAGTATTCAAAAAGTATATATACTATCATGATTATCTTAAAACTGCAGAGACATATTAAAAATTCTGTTGTAGAATTTAAAAACATTTTGTACGTGACTTTATGAGGAAACAAAAGATAAAAGTGCCATGTGAACCCAAATAACATAAAATTAATTCGACTTATCCTATATGTTTCTCTTCACCAGTGATAACTTTGCGTTTTCATATCCCTGTTATCGACAATGATCACAAGCAGCATACAAATCAATTTACGCTTTTTAAAGCTATAATTATAGAATTCCACAAATTTGTCTTTGATAAATAGATAATACATAATCTCAGAAATAATTTTAAATTTATATTACAATATACAGGGTATCTAATCATTTTTCGGTCAAAGTTTGGTAAAAACAAAAAATCTTAACATTAATGTGTTGTGAAAAATTTATGATAAAAATATAAAATGTAAACAAAATATCGTATATCCAATTTTGCAAGAAGCTTGTTAGACTTACTTCAATATAAACGTAAACAGCATTTAAAAATGCAAAATTTTCATATTCTTATCATATATTTTTAAGAAGATTTTTTGAAATATATTTATATTTTCACTTTTAGCTGTCAAAGTTTGACATGTTGTCAAAATTGTCAGATACCCTATATATGTAATATCCTATGAATGTATACACATGATTACCAGAGAATCATGTTTAATAATGCAACATATTTCACTTATTCACGTAATTACAGGGACATACAAAAACACTACGCGTAAAAGCATGGGCACAATAAAGTATACAAATCATAACACATAACCACACCATAAAATAAAATTACATAAGCATTTCTCTAAAAAGCTCTTTCATTTCATACTCCATTAAAAATGGTTAAAAGGATTTCAAATACAAATGCATTGACATTATTACAGAAATCTTAATAACCAGTAGTTTTCTTAAATTAATGTACAAGCTGTTACATATTCAATGTTAGATACGATCAAATGAAATTAAATTTGTTATTCACAATACAATCATGTAAAATATTGTGCATTGTATATCGTAAAAAGTGCAAAGTATTGTCAAGATCAATTGCATTAATGTCTATTGTTTCAATGTTATATTTTCTTTAACGCTATCTTTATCTTTTCGATTTTTTTTCCTTTTTACAGATAGCATATGAAGTGCTCGTTAACAAAAGAAACTGTGCTAGAATAATATTAAACAATTTTAAATACAATTTTCAAAAATTTTGTTTAAATTAGAAATTTCTACTCAAAGTATTCAACGAATAGAACGCCAAAAAACTCTTCAGCTTTCGAAGCTTTTAGCAAATTACTACTATTAGAAGGTAAATATTACAAACAGGAAGATGGTGAAATCTATTTTTACAAAAGCAAGGAAAGAAATTAAATGAGAGTTTGAACGTTGCAAATAATGCATCATAAAGATAAGAAAACAATAGATAAATATTTTAAAATATTATATAAATTATTTTCAGCCCATTCCTTCATCTTCAAAAATATTTCAGTTTAAATAATACATTGCATAATTCAATCTATTCGCAGTATGTAAAATAAACAGCGTGGAATGGCATATATTTTGGAGGAGGAAAAGGAATGCCAGATTTTAGCACATGTCACGGTGCAAATGTTTCTTTGTTTTTAAATTCAGATGCTCTGCATACCTATCTGTCGCATTCGAGCACTTTGAACGTAGGTGTAGTTGTAGGTGTGGGAGAATTGTGTTTGCTTACACGATGATTCAAAGATGTTTCTTGCACGTTGTCCAGGTTTCCATGCATCGCTTTCTTGTGATTGGCCAATTTCTCTCTGTTCATGGGCGAGCCTAGAACCACCATGGAGCCATGATGCCAGTCCACATTACTCAGAATTGCATTGTTTTAAATAACTGATGTCTCTCAATGAAGGAGACTAAACGCAGAAATATTTAGCACGAGAGATTTTGCACGATAAAGATATCTCAGAAATATGCTGAGAAATATTACGCAGTCCCTATTTGTAAAGCTGCTCGTATTGGCCATAAGATTCAGAGCTCTTTCTTTATACATATATATATGTAGGGATATGAAAATAAAATTTTAATCGTTTAATTACCATGGCTATCTATCATCAGTATTGTAAGAATTACTAGCAGCCAATCATAGTTGAAAGTAGAGTGATCGTTAGTAAATTGCATTTATCATTCAAATAGAGTATAAAATAATAATTGCTGTTAACAAGGTAGTCAAACGATTAATTAACGTAACACTGGTGTGTACTCCAAAAAAAAAAAAAGATTAAATTGTTTTTCTGAAGCACCAAAGTGCTTATGACGATTCTCAGAAGTACAATAACCGTATTATCAAATCTATTATTCAGCGGTAAAATTTAAATTTGTATAAAAATATGCGATATAAAAAGTTAATAATCAATTAAGCAAAATATAACACGAAATAATTTGCACAATCTGCAAACCAGATTATAAGTATATTCTACCTAGCTACTTTGCGTTACGATTTTCCTTGTTCTGATAAGCACAAAGCTATAAGTTTTGAACTTAAAATAGGACGAACGTATAACAAATAAGCAATGAGAAGAGACTTGAATTAGAGATTGTAATATAGATTTTTCTGGCATGCATATATAAACATATACTTATTAGGATATTTTTCTCAATTTTGAAACATAGAATACACTTGTAATGCGGCACGCTTGTGAATGTGTGTTCGTGTGTGTGCACCTGATCCCCTCACACATTATGAACGTATTCTGTGTTTCAATATTGAGAAAAATATCCTAATAAATATGAATCCGCAAATTATTTGTTTTTAAAAAGTAGTCACTTTTAAATAAATCATTAATTATGTTATATGCTGACGTTCAAAATTTCTCATTAGCTACACGAGTCAATGTATCACATCATTATAAATTACATTATGTTATCAAATTATTTCTGATTACCACGCGTGTTCAAGCTACGACTTAAAACGGTTGTATCTTCAAAACAAATAGTTTTCAGACTCATTATATGTGTTATATGTGTTTCAGACTCATGTTTATAAGATGTTAAAATTAAAAATCCCCCGATATCTATAGTATAATGTTTGCGTGCATATTTATGTATGTTTTCTCACCTATGTAACTTAATAACACCGGCAAAAATATCAGACCGTGTGCTGCTCCAAATAGCACGATACCCAGATACATCCTGAAGTAAAACACCTGCAAACGCCATTTAGGTGAGTGACGCCGTAATCTCGTGCAATAAAGATAAATAAGTAGCAGAATGCTAATTATCTAAAGTTTTATCGCAATTGACTGATTTGCAATTCATTTAAAAATTTAATTTTAAAGAATTGCAAATTGCGTCAAAAAACAAGCGCGCTCTTTTCAGTTGAAGTGACAGCCACAACTGAGATAATTAGCATTCTACCTTAATAGAACAAAGACAAACCTGGAAAATTTGACTCTTCGCAAAGCCCAGAACTATAATACCGCCAAACTTCGTAAGCGTAATACCGCTGAATACTGAACTCCCCATATTTGTCAACGCATCTGCAACTCTGTCCACTCTAGTTGCTTGAATTGACACTGAGAAGGAATGCACTAAATGACTGCAAAACTCGACGGCTATGCCAACTGCCTGTAATACGAACAGACACAAGACAATAAATAATAATTCTATAAAGTCAACCTGAGGGAACAAACACGAGACAATTAAATTAACTGACTCACCATAACAAGATTCACTAGAGACACTGCGTTCAGAGTTATGTGCCACCAGTACATCAGGCCGCCGATGTTGACGACAATCATCGTGATTGTAATTAGGACAACCAGCGATGAAAAAATGTCCAGGCCCATTAGTAGGAAAGTAACCACAAATATAGCGAGCAATGAGATTCCTATACTTTGCAATGTGTCGGGCCACATAGTCAGATACTGTTCGTAAAATACGTAGAAAACGCTGTATGGGAAAACTTCTACCGTAGTGTCATCGCCCATACGTCTCAAATTACAGTTGAGCATATCTGTTATGTTTGACGCCACAACTCTGGCCGCTCTCATCGATTCGTAATAATCGGCCGAGGTCTTGAGTATCGTGTGATAAGCCATGAAATACGAAGCGCCCACGGTCGACATCATCGTGTCGTCGTGCGTAATGTAATTTACACCATGTCCATAAGCAGCATGGCCACCTTTAGCGCACGTCTCGTCGGGATTATCTTGCAGGAAAAACGATACGTATCTATCGAAATCGGTCGCCGTCGGCCTGTTGTATTGATTCAAAGTGATATTGCAAGTAGAACAGTGTGCGCGATCTGCAATCGAAAGCATGTAGCACAATAAGAGTTCAGGTGTCACAATATACAATACGTGTGATAATAAATATAACTTTTGTAAACAAAGATATACCGGTATGCGGGCAGAATGAGCTGTTGGTAGGAAAATATCTACAACAGCCGGACAATCCTGACCAATCGATGTAATCATCCATCCAAGACGAAGCAGGCTTAGCTATATAAGTTCTGAAAAAGATCGAAGGCGATTTCAATACAATTCGAATATAAATGTAACAAAAACTTCACGTTCTTCATTCATAAAACATACCTATTTGATTGTTTGGATGCTGTGAAGATTTGTGTAGATATTGAATCGATATTACAATACTGCCCACCACAAACTAAATTTTGTACTTTGGTGTCGGAATAATTCAGGCCATCTTTAACGACAAAATACATCGGCGGTCCGATCGATAAGTAATTATTTAGAAACTGAAAAAAAAACGGTAAAAATATGTTGTTATTTGTTAAATTTATGTTTGTACTCTTGAGCTTTTATGATTCATGTTTTTGCTCCATCCTTCGCAACGTACTTTGAAGTATTTAAGCACAAAGCTGTCTTCGGGCATAGAAAGTTCTTGATCTAGGCCAATTTCGATATGTGGTATTACGGCGATGCTGCTACAGAGCCAACCGAAAAATACAACCATCACAACAGCGCGAACCCACTTTTGTAGTAAGAGCGGGACATATGCGACTTTGAAGATTTTATACAGCATTCCATCTACCACCTCTTCTCCATCATCTCGCTTGGAATGAATAAAGCAACACACATCCAACCTATTGTTCTAAAATTATAACAAAGTGCTTTATGTATTTTTCAATGTAATCGCGAGTATGTGTGTAAGAAATAATGAATTAAAAACGTGAATTATTCATTATAATAAAAATAAAACTTCTGTAACATTTTGTTAACAAAAGTTTCTCATCAAATAAGTGAATTAAAAAAGGTTTACTAGATAAAACTATATAGTAAGAATACTACATTGTATCAAAATTTGCGTTTTATACACGAACATTTATAGGCGTTGTATATGAAAATATCATCATTAATGAGAAAAAGTAGCAAAACCTCTCAAATAATTTTCAACAATTCTTTCACTTAAAATAACATACCGCATGTCGAATTGTGTCAAGTGCTAGAAGACTGACGAAACATGTAATTTGCAATATGAAATCTACTAATAGTGCCATTCCAGCATAAAGAGCAAACGCTTTCACAGCAGGCATATCAGAGAGGCCACCTAAAAAAATCCAAAAGAAAATGATTATATGTTGATTTGCACACGTGAGCGAAACTTCTCAAGTGACTTCCTGCGCTGACACATACCAAGGAAGAAGCAGCAGCTTTCCGACACGCTCGTCAATAACATACTAGGGCCGACTTGGCCCAATGTACGACCAATGTGTTCTGAGATAGACTCGTTCGGGCGTCTACCCTCTCTCTGATGAGTTTGAACGAGAATAAAATATTGTCCACTCCGACCGCCAGTACCAAGAATGGAATGACCTCGATGATGATCAACGTAGCTGGTATACCGATGAAGCCGAACAATCCGACCGAGCAAATCACAGATGCCAATACTATGAGCACGCCTCCGAGTCCAAGAGTGATCTTAGAATCGTGCTGAAATAAATATATCAATTATATAAAATTATACGTTCGAGGAAAATGTATGATAAAAAGTAAGGATATCGTGTGAGAAATTCTCACCAGAAGACGAGAGCAAGATCTGATTTGGCCGAGAGACACCGCGATATATCCAAACATGATGACGTATGATATTAGAATGGTCACAATATCCGACTGAGATTCACGGTTTAATTCATCCTCAATAGACCGCTCGGACGTGAATGCTATGTCCATAAACGCTGGTTTTCTCGTTGCGGTCCAGTTTTTCATAAAGGCAATAAAGCTAAAATTACATAGCATATAAAATAATATAAGATTAAGCAAATTTACCATGTGACGTTGTCAGTACGAGTTAAATTTACACGAATTTACCTCTCTTCCCATTCCATAGCAGGAGATAATTTGGTTTTATTGTGATAATTGTTTACAAGTATGCTAAGGATTATAGCAGTTGCCTTTTCATATGGCGGATTATGAAGATCCTGTCCTGGAGACAAAAATCCACCTACTGCGATCGCGGGGTCCACGGGACCACCGTAAAGCGCAAGACATTCAGGGTTATATGCATTTCTGAAAAAAAAAAAAAATGTATGAAAGTAAATGTAAATGCAACAAGGCAATATTATACATATAACCAGGATAAAGCTCCAAAATTTTAAATTGCAATGAGAAAAAACGGCTTGAGGCAAGATGTTTTCTCTCAAATCATTATTGTATTCACAAAAACATCTTTCAATTTACATTACAGGCGTTTTTTCGCCGATCATTCGACCGTCTTCAATGCATTAACAAAATTAATTAAAAAATCATAGTTATAACGCATAAAAAAATAATCAGGTTACAGAATTTATGCTAAAGGATGAATTGTTCAATGACATAATTTACACGTCTAGAAAAGCAGATTAAGAGTCTTTCTTTTGTCGCATTAAAGACTTACTGTGAGCAAACTCTGAAGTGATCCAAATAGTTCACCGTATAATTGCCGTCTTCTTCCGAATCCTGAAACTTCTCTAAACTGTCTTGCCAGTAACCCCAAATACTTTGAATAGCGCATTGCGAAACTGTCGTCGGGCCAGTAAATGGCCCGGTTAAAGGGGCAAAACATATGTCGGCTAATGTGTAATTGTTAGGAGTAACTATATGCTTAATACCTTCTTGCAATTCGAAAATTGTTTTCAAAAAAGTATCATTAAATACAGAACCGAACACGATTGGTCCGTTGGACGTGTTATGCACGATCTGTAATAAATATTGAACAATTATAAGATACACCGGATCAAGATCAAAATATATAACTCATATTTACACCACAAGTTGACGAGATGTAATTTGGCTACACAAAATCGATTTTGTGCCAAGATAATGACGTGATTTCAATAGTACGTACTTTTGGCAAGCCAATAGAGGTAATAATAATTTGTTCATTTCGATAAAACGGTTCAAAGTGTTTATCGAAGTATTCTCTTTCGACGCGCGATCGAGAATGTGGAGACGCCCACAATTCCACAGGATCTGTAGTAACTTGTATGTATTTTATGCCGTGTCCCAAGGCGACAATAAACAGGAAGCCGAGAAAAAGTATTAACCAAGGTCGAGAAGCGCAAACTGTAAAAAAATATTGATCATCGTGAACAAAAACATAGAGAAATATCGCAATTTGAGAGAATTTGCGTAAATTATATTACAAGATACAAAATATAAAGCAACAACGTCGCTTACATGTCCCCCATTTGCAGAAGAACTCTTGCAAAAATTTGTCCGTGCCTGCTCCAAGCTTTTCGATGAAAGTGGATTGTTCTTCGTCAAATCCAGATGGTAAATCATCAGTAGATATAACACCTAAAAATAATTGTATATTAGACATATAAAAAACTTTTATCATACATAAACGTTTGATGGACGATGTACAATTTACGTAACCTTGACTGCTCGTGCTACAAATACATAATCTATAATTAATATTTTTTTACTGTCTTATGAATAATAACATTTATAAAGCTGAAATTGACACACTTAATAATAAACATTTATATATGTATGAAGAAAAACTCTTAACAACATTGGAGATTCTATTTCAACATTTCTGCAAACATCATAATAAAGCAATTCTGTGCGATATCTTTTAAGTCTTTAATACTTTGGCGATTATTTTAGAGATTGTATATCTTTCATTTCTTTAGATGCCTCATAATCTGGAAAATTACATAAAATATTGAATATAAAATGCTGTCTGTTCCGTGTATAATCCGTCTTAAAAGTATTTTACAATTTTCCAATGCTATTATGAGAAATTCTTTTTCTCATTACATTCGTAGACATATTTTGTTCTTCTCTTCTAATAAACTATTTAAAATAGCGTATCAAACAACATAATGCAACAAACATGCAAAATATTTTATAAGTATTACATAGAAGATTCATAGTCAAATAACATACACATACACAATATAACATACACAAATATATGTATAACATATTTTTTGTGCAGGAAGTATTCATATAACAGAGTGAAAAAGTTTTTGTATGTTTCTAAAAACCCCAAAAAAATTAACAGAAAAGGAGCTATAAAATTTTTTATATATTTTTCTTCTGTCGATTCGACTTAATATTCATATAACCACTCCTAATTAGACATTTAAAAGATCCGAATTATATAACTTCAGAAATATTCCGAACGACCTATGATTTATTTATGAAAACAAGATCAATGAATTATTCAAACTTTTTTTTGAAATCTTATTATGCAGTATAATTTTATCGAGCTCGGACTTTTAATCGACTTTTTGTGAAACACAGTGGACTTCGTTCAAGCGTCAGCTATTAAGCGTTTAGACTTTCGCAAAAAGTGCAATAGTGTAGTTGATTATCATAATTTATCATTTAATATAAGCCCCCTATTCTATAACAATGTCGTTATATATATCACTACGCAGGTTCTTTTGTATTACATAATAGCTGCGCAATGATACAACATCGTTATAAGTTACAGAATGAGCTCCTAAATGTGCAGTGCTATATTGACAAAAAACAAATGTAAGTTACAATAGCGGAGCAAAATTTAAGATTAAAATACTTGTTATCCGTTATTTTATTTTATCAAAATAAAGGATAAAAACTGCAGTAAATAATATTATCAAATCTATTACGGATTTAGAATAAAATAAGTAAAAGTAGCCGCCTTAAACTTATCTCCGCTACTGTAAATAGTCTCAACATATACTTACACGTCACATTACATTCAAAGGGTTAATGTTATGAGTAAAACCTTAAGAGATTAATGATTTCCTATTTCGTAAATCTAAGTATGAATAGTTGGGAAAAGATGCTTTGAATCTTTTGTCTAATCTGCAACTGACATCCTGACAGACAATTTGCGAAGCTGCATCAAAGCGAGAGAAACGAAAGCGCGGAAGCGACAAAGATACGCACAGGAAAGTAGCGACACAGACGAAAATATTTTTAGAATCGAAAAAACCTACTAGAACGCTTAGACTGAAGTGGGCTGTCTTCTTGATCAGCGGCGAGGGCAATACGAGCACCATCTCCTGGGTGGTGTAATCCGGCTGCTAGCCGTCTACCCACCTGTCTTCCTACTTCCTCCCCTCGTGCAACTAAATATATGCGCACACCATACATACACTTATAAATCCGGTATACAGAAGTGTTTAACAAGTAATTTATATTTAAAGTCTAATCAATTTCACATAAAATTTAATATTAGTCACACGTGTCGTTCGTTAAGTAAAACTCGAATTTGTGCAAATGTTAATATTTTTAAGAAAAAATATATAATAAATTGCATATTGAATGCTTAACGAGCTGAAATAAATGATTATAAAAACATAAGAAATTGGTTTCATTGAAATACATAATTTCTCATAACAATTTTTTTTAGTTCTTATATAACTTTAACATCTACATCTATACACTAATTTAAATCTAAGTACGCATTCGCATAATTACAAATGCGTAAGTAGTTGTTACAATCCTGTAATTTTCTCTTAATGCTTCTCAAAAATAATATTCCTCTTTAGTGTAATTAAAAAAAAATTAACACTCCAAAGAGTGTTAAATGCCTTAATTTATGTTTCTTAAGCTTTAGAAAAAATAAAATAAGTACACACAAAAAAATTTTACCACAACCAAAAAATAAATAACAACCGAATATATCCACAATACCACTACAAAAGATTAATCACATAATTAATCAATAATTAATCAATTCGTTCTACTATTTCCCCATTTATCTTACATATATATCTCTTTGAGAGATAACCAATAGTAATAGCACAAGTTAATTACAATTACTTAATACTAAGTTACTAATATATTTAATAAATTATAAAAGATAAATTGTGTACGCTAAATATGGTAAAGCTTTGAAAACACAAAAGAAAAACACACTGCATTTTCTGCTTTCAAAATTAGTGCTACAGTGCAACTTGGCAACGACATTCCTTATACAGAGTGCTTCAAACCATGTCTATTTTAGTTAAATATAGATTTTTGGACCTCAACTAAAACCCAACTAAACAAATTTTTTACCAATCATTATCTATGCCCTTTTAGATACTACCATTTTTTTAACATCAATATTTAAAAACCTTCAAAAAAAAACCCATATACAGAATAATATAGTGTTAAAGTTTTGTTAGTTTTATAAAAACAGCCTTGCTCCAGCTGTTTCTTTCCGAACAATAGCCATTGAATTCATACACGAATTCACTTTATAAACAATAAACTAACTATTAAGAAAGTTCAAATTTTTATCAAATTTATCAAGATATCTTTACTTTTCTAGTATTCTAGTAAAATAAAAAAACAACCTGCAAGAAATTCACTAAATAATAAAAAAGTTAAACAACTTTTTTCCTAACAATTTTATCTTTGATAAAAATAAGATCTTCAACCAATTTTGTTATAAGCCTTTCAGACAAAGTACAAAAAAGAAATTTCAAAAAATTTTTAAGTACAGACCACTTTGTTGAGTTGATCTTACTATTTTTAATATTTCTCTATTCGCTTAAATGTTGGCAAAAATTTTCAATTTTATAAACAAACTTTTTCTTGTAACTAATTTTTAACCGATCTATAGTGACAATTATAAATAATTTTGCATCACTGTATCTTGAAAATAGAGTAATAGTCAATCTATGTTTATGTAAACTTTTTTTCTTTGTATTTTGGATATCTTTATGTTTAAAAAAATTTGGTATGTAAGTCTGTTAAAAGTTGTTAATAAAATATCCTATATAAAACTGTACCTCTAATACGTACAAAGCAGAGTCTCTTACCTATGCGCTTTCTATGGCTGAAACACGCTATCAACAGAAGGAAGAGACAGGTGCCGCATACAAACATAATTGTCATTGTAACTTCATAACCATCATAACCGAATATCGAGAACGGTTTTGGCAATGGAGGTGGTGGTGGTGGTATTGGACAGCTTTGTTCGCAATCGACACAGCTGCATGCTGGAGCGTATTCCTATATAAAAAGAGATTTAAAAGTTAGAAAGATTAAAAGCGCAAACTTAAAACAAAAACTGACTAAATCCACTCTTAAAAAAGATATGTTAACTTTCATCTGTTGTCTCTTTTCTGCGATGCCGATCGATTCTCTTCTTAAAAATGAATAAAATATACATTTAAACATTCTAGATCATTTCTCCCTTTAAAATATGAGATTCAATGCATCGCAGTAAAGTTCTACGGCTGTCAAATGACATGATATAGAATTCTAAGGCGTAAAAATAAATAGAATGTACATTAATGTTAAAAAAGTGATTAAAATAATGCAATAAATTAACAAAATAAGATTTCTATTCTTTAAAAGAGAAATAAATAGCGTGTTCCAAACTGCAACATTTCTAGAGTCTTTTCTATACAGCAAATGCGTTACATTTCCTTTACTAGCTCGTTAGAACTTTACGCCGTTAATAATTCTAATAGCTTTAAGAGAACATATGTATTTAGAATACATATTATATTATATTACATGTGTGAAAATAATACGAACATTTAACGCCTTGCTGCACGGTGTGATTGGAGGATCCAACGGCGTAAACACATCAATAGCTCTGTCGGTGTTCACATATGTGATTTGGAAAGGTACATACATGTTATTCGCTGCATCACCCATAAAGTGGAACCATTTCAAAGGAGTACATCTACTCGCTCCCCATTCACCGCACATTAAATCCAATGCCAACTGTCCGGTACTTGGTACTGATACCTTATTGCACGAGTTAAACGTTCCCTCAAGATATTTATTCGTTATGTACAGATCAATGGCATTAATATATTCTACGCCTGAAAAGAAATTTCATCAAACGCATATTAAAATATTAAATCACTCCGATAAAAGACTCATGATTCTTATATAAATTCCTATTACAGTTTCTGCAGAAGTTGCTATTAAACCGTGAAACAAAATGCGAAAATTACCTTTGTCTGTTTTGGCTTTCTCCGTAACATTGATAAATTTGCTTTGGTTGGTAGCGCATGTAAAGTCGCAAAAATGCTTCACTAAATTGTCCAAGCAGCTCGGACATCTTTTTAAAAAGTTCGATGCGAGCTTAATATTCGTATCTAAGTTGATAAGTTGATTCATGTCGCAGCAAGTGTTAATTCCATTGCCGCTGTCTACCAACAAATGCGGACAATGTTTCCCCAATAATTTCTGTCCTTCAGAATCCAACGGTTTCGCTAATCCATCGTAAGGACAATATTTCTTATGCATTGCTCCATCCATGTAGCACTCTCCATACCACACACAATGTGCATCTTCTTCACAGGTTACCTGTTTACAAATAAAAACATTTTGGATTTTTATTCAATAATTTGAAACAAATCTCACACACAAAATTAATCCTCAAGTTCTTGAATTATTTGTACATAATTTTGCGTATGGTTATATTTGTATATGATTTTATCTTCTTTTAAAATACAATCTTACTTTAAGATACAATTGAAAATCTGTCAATACCGTACAAAAATTTACGTCCAGAGAAATCCAGGTGTACGATTTAAAGGAATAATTACTCTTTTCTCATGATTTATAGTTTCATATGTACAGCGTGTCTCGTAATTTGTGAATTAAAATATTATACCAGGAAAGTTCTCCAAAAGCTAAATAAAAAAGTCTTTGCAATTTTATAATCGAAGCAAGTTTTAAACACAAGGATTTAAAATTGGCCAATCAGAGTCTAAACAATTACTTGTCTATGAGTTGCTAATACTGTCGTGCAACTCATGGATTAATTTTTTGGTCTTCATTACTCTCTTTATTCTTGATATTATATATTAATAATATAATGATATTTTCATATATTTATATATATATTTATACCATTCTTTGCCACAAAAATATTGAAATGCACAAATAAACTCTTTCTTATGAAAGAGTAATACAAAAACTAATTGAATTTAATTTGATCCCTAAATTGTAGTGAACAATTTATTATTTATTGATAGTTTTATATTCAAATTTGATTTTCGATATGTCAGATGTAACGAGGGTTATTATATAAGGTATTTCCTAATTGAATGCTTCATGACCTCCGTATTAAAGTCTGATTTAAGATTTATTTGAGTCAATGGGCTGAATTAATGATTTAATTCGTTTAACTTGAAACACAGTACTGAATAAAGAACTTGCTCAAAAGAATAATGTTTAAGTTTATTTCTTATAGCGAAATATTATATTACTTATATTCCAATACAGTGATATATGCGACTAACAATAATAATATTCTCAATATATTTATGTGATATATGGTCGTGTTTATATACATGTTTGCTCTAAACTCATCAAATTAGGGTTATGTATATATTATAAAGTATCTTATGGAAAACAAGAAATGCCCAAATAATTTCACGATAATCAACCAAAATAAATACGACCGAAAATTAGTTAACGGAAAAAAAGAAAATTAAGAACAAAGATTTTAAGAAAATAAAAATTGATTATTACACATATTTTTGCAATAATACCCTCAAAATCAATACAAATGTGATCCTATTAATTTCGAAATTTACTTTTTTCAAAAATAAATATATATGTATAAGTAAAAGTCTGTTATATATAAAAAATTCAATATATAAAAAGGAAACGCTTGCGTTACATATAAAGTGACGCCCCTTATCATCTTCTTTGTGAGTCATTCGTTTATAAAGAATCGTAAGTCACGCAAGAGGCGTTGTATTTTGGATTATGTCCAGATCGAAGACACAAAGAAATATTTTTTATAATTGTTTTTAACGATCTTGGTTCATGCGTAAGAAAAAGAAAAAAAACGCGTGTTTGTGCTTATCAATTTTATCAATTAAAAGAAAATTACATACTAATTATCTGATTGCATGTTTTGCCGGACTCGCATAATCATACAATGCATATAGATAAGAAAATGAACGCGTTTCATACTTTTCGCGTTTTCCTTCTTTTATTTTTCCTTATTCTAATCGCGCAATTTTATTCTAGCAAAACAAAAAATAGCTATCTAATTAGATTGATGTGTTATATTTTGTAAAATTTCAAATTTTTGATTATTCCTCCTTATTAATCTTCCCAAGTATACGCGTGTACACTTTTTTTTATATTCTAAGCATCGAAAATACAGACAAGGTCAGATTGAGAACGAAGTTATTGAATGAGAGTAGGTACTTTGTATCGCGAAATACATTCTTCGACGCTGAGTTGTCAAAGCATCATTTACATTTAATCGCCTGCGGTTAATACAACTTTTTCTATTTCATATTGCGATTATAAAATGAGTCATGTTTCTAAAGAATGATAAACACATTTGAGTTAATCGAAGTTGACATAATTGGATCAAAATGTTCCAGTATATTTTCTAAAATCATATATTTAAATATAAAGGCATCTCGATAACGGAGTCGTTAACCAAACGACTTGAACTTTCAAGTGAAAAGAAACTTCTCGTCGATCTCGACCCAACGAATAAATGTGAAAACGGCAAAACGGGAGCCGCAGTAAAAGTGTAATTGAATTTAATAAATCCTATAAGATGAGCGATAGGCTTTCTCAACGATCAGCCGAGATGACGTCACGTAACGTACAAACGTGCCGAAGTTACTGGGTTGTGGCACGTACACAGTGTGATTTTTGGTGTGTATGTGAGTTTTATATGTATAATATGCGCATGACGCGCGCCCAGGTAAGACGAAGAAAGGCACAAAGGGGGTTGACGTGACGCGCGTGCGGCACACAAGCATTGCAAAAAGGACGCGCAAATACGCGATGCGTCACTTACCAAACCCGTGAAACCGGACAAGGTCAGCAGCAATAGGGGCCAAAGAACGACATTGCGCATTCTGACCGCTCCTATCAAAGTCCGATGACGAACGGCCGCGACCGATACACCAGCCTTGTGCATCGCACGGCGTTATGTTGCCTGTCACAATATGTAACGCCCAGAACTCGCTCCCTCGTAATTACCGCGCGACGCACTTAACTTCGTTGCCCGATACGTATTATAAAATAATCATCATCGCACATGTGCGAGGAATCTTCACGATGCTTAGCTACAACCGTACACGAGTGACTCTTCTACGTTTTGCGACTCGACTACAATTGATCGTACTGCTCGATCACGACCGTCCATCACCATCGAACTCGCTCGACTATCAGCGACTGCGCTCCGAGCGCCATTCGACGACGTTTGGCCGCTGTCGACACTGACGTATCTGATGACGATTCGAACCACGAGTATAACACGAAACAGCTCTTCTAATCTTTCTCGATAGTCTAGATGTGTCTTTTGACTCAAATCAAGTTTTACGACAGCTAAATAAACATTACGTTATAAATGCTACTATCTTATCGGATCTATCTTTCTTCCTTGAAATATTATATTATTGTCGAAAGTCATAATTGAAATGAATCATAGCTTGAGATGTTTGTAGACTTTGAACTGCTTTGATTATATATATTATCTTAATTGTATTAATTTCAATTTATTTATTTTGTTTTCGACTGCCGGTGTTTGTGATTTGTCGGAAATCAATAATAAAACCGACAGTTATTGACAACTGAAATTTTAAATCCCATTTATCGTTCAATAATTGAGAATTAGAGTGATATTTATGAATCTTCCAGTAGATTTAGATTTGATCAAAAATTGAGAAATCATATTATTCGCGTTATGGAATAAACCTGAAGTTACAGCTTCTTCATGATTTGCTATCTGGATACGTACGATCATGTAACGCATGTTTGCATTCTTTGCACACCGGAAATGTCATTGGTCTGCACGTATACCTTTTACTTACGCTATACTTGACTGATCGTACAATTATCTTATTTACGAAATGGTTGCTTAAACTCCAAATGGGGAACATAAATACAAGTTTTCTTTTAATCTGTGCTACGAAATCTAAACAAGTTTTATTACATAATCATCATTTTTTTTTAATTCTGACTGCAGAGTCGAAAGCAAGATTTCGTAATAAAACTTTCACAACTTTGATTATTTTAATATAGTTAATTAATAATAAAATAGCCTTGAACTTCAAAAATATAAGATAGAAGATAAATATAAAAATTACAAATTTTTAATTTCCGCATTTATGATTATATTTATGGGACGTGATGCGGTTTTTCATTTGAGTTTTCTCTTCGAGTTTTACATCCAAGTTTAATGTATCCTCGCGATCCAAGTTTAGTAACTTTCGCACCGTGGACACAGGCCTTATGTCTATCCTGTAACTTGCGACGGCAATATTACTGCTGTTACATGACGTATACGTATGCGTAGTTGTAATGCACTATTTAATAACTTGTAATAATGCGTTATAATAGCGATATTATCGTCAGCAGTTTTAGGATAACATATTAGTGTAAGTAGCAGTCGTATAAAGTAACGCGAAGGAAGATGCGCGAACGTTGCGAACCGCCTTTAAGTCACGACAAATGTCGTACTATTCTGGCGACCATTTTTGTGAGATTGCTATCCTAGCTTGTTATACGGGATATTTCGTGCGGTCAATAAACGTCGTGCTAATAGCACGTGGTAGTTTCGCGACGAGATTTCGGTAGAGGGAAATTTTTGCTCCTCGATTTATAACGAATAGCATAAAACGCCGCATGCATTTACATAAATATGTAGTCAACCGTTCCTCATCCACAGTCGTGTTGGGAATGTTTAATGGAGGAGTGATAATTAATTGAGTCGAGGAAAAAAAGTAATATCCGAGTGATTTCCGCTGTGTTGCCGGAGACGTGCACACTATTTCAGCAGCTGTAAAGTCCGCACGACAGATCCAGAACCTGGTTGTGGCGTGGTTCACAAACGTCATGGTTCTTTATTATGCTGGAGCTTAGTTTATTGTCTTTCTCACTCTCTCTTTCTCTTCCTATTGGTGTACCCGTAATATATTAATTGATAATTGACGAAGGAAGAAGCTATCGTTTCAGTCTCTTGGATTCTAATAAGGGTAACGCGCGTAACAATGGCTGCAACTTTTGATCAGTACGACAAATCAAGGTATGTGTTGTGAGAGAATTCCCATATTTTGATTCATCGAGCAATCGGTATCATGCACGTGTTGTATATTGTCACATAATGTTTGAAATTGCGGCTGCATATTACTTCTAATGTAATACGTTCATTTAATGTATTTTTATATAAAATTTCATGATATTTTATCTAGGTATTTTATTTTTTTAACAGTACATAAATCATTTTTAGTCCATGTGATATCAATTATATTTTTGTTTTAATTTAATATTTGTTGGACAGAAAATATATAGAAATCTTCCTAACTAAATGACCTTTTAATGTCTATCAAATTGATCTCTTAGGTATTTGTTTTATGTGAGAAGTGATTTGTTCTGAATAATAAATATTGAGCAATTCTGTTTTTTTTTTGTTTTTGTTCTAGAAGGATAGGATTAATTAAAATTTAGTTAACTTAATTTATAGAAATCCTTGTAGAAATATTTGTAGGTCAAATCATTTTTCTATGAAGGATTTAATTTGTTGTATTCACTGCGTGATTTTCTTTCAGCTGGTATTTTGGTGCTATGTCACGACAAGATGCTTCCGACTTATTAATGAGTGAAAAAGAAGGCGGTGTATTTTTAGTGCGAGATAGTACTTCTATACATGGCGACTTTGTACTATGTGTAAGAGAAGACAGTAAAGTTAGCCATTATATCATTAACAAAATACAACAAGCAGATCAAATTCGATATCGGATTGGAGATCAGATGTTTGCAGACATTCCCAGTCTTCTGGCCTTCTATAAGTTGCACTATTTGGATACTACACCATTAATTAGGCCTGCTCCGAAGAAGACACAAAGAGTAATTGCAAAGTATGATTTTGAAGGCAATGATTCTGAGGATTTACCCTTCAGAAAAGGTATGGACAACTTTCTTAAGTCATTTCAACTCGTTACTGTTATTTGATAAAAGTATATTAATAAAGTGGATGTAATAATAGGTGATATACTTACTGTAATATCGAAAGATGAGGAACAGTGGTGGACTGCTAGAAATAGTGTTGGACAAACTGGTTCAATACCAGTGCCATACGTTCAGAAGTACGACGAGGATAGCCATATAATAATAGAAAATAACTCGCGACCTGAGAGTGGCGGCAGTTCCGGATCTAATTCGAATTCGGGACCCATCTCGCAGGTATCTCATGCAGAAGTGACCGGACAAACCACGATAACGCGAAGATCAAACATTCAGAGAACACTACCAGCTTTTGCAAAAGTGAAACAGGCAAGAGTGCCAAATGCGTACGATAAAACTGCACTTAAATTGGAAGTAGGTGATATGATAAAAGTGACAAAGACTAATATTAATGGCCAGTGGGAGGGTGAATTGCATGGTAAAGTTGGGCACTTCCCATTTACGCACGTCGAATTTGTAGATAATGAGACTGGTGAAGAGAGAGACAATCAGGAGATTTAACAAAAATTCTCCGAATGTGATACGTTGTATGTGTGACAAAGGGGAAAAAGATTCTTCCTATATTATCAAAATTTAGGTTATTAATACATCTATTATATGTACTATCACACGGATATGCTTATCTCATCTGAATCAAGTCTGAACAACTATATTATATTTACATTCATTTCATTATTGCATGTTACATACTGCAAGAATAGACTCCATATTTTCGTGCAATATGTTGAAACATAACAGACGTTTAAAGATGTGCGTTAGTATCTCTACAGTGTTAATAATTTAGTCACTTGTCAATCCATAATCTTGTGTTATACATTGCTAATTGCCCAAAGCACAAGCATAATTTTATCAAGTTATTAGATATAGATATGTAATAGAGCTATATATTAGTATCTCCTTGTTATATTTCATTAAATATTGAAATTACATATGTTTTGATGAAATAGCGAACAAAACAATTTTTGTAAAGGATACAGTATTTATAGAATAGAATTTATAATGATATTAATTTACAGTTTTAAACTGTCAAGTTATATGTATAATATTTCACATTTTTTCTTACATAGATCTTAATATAATGCACTAGTTTAATATACACATGTAAGTTTTTATTGTTTATCTAGGAATTTATTAGTACTTGAAATGAATAATTCAATATACAAAATTCTTCATACCCTCAACAAGTACTCGTAGAGTATCTGTTAATTTCTCGAAAAGATTATGTTATTGATAAGTTATTACTTTTATTTATAAATCTTACAATAAAGAAGGCATGCTTTTTAAATTGTTTTATTAGTAAATACTACAGTTATACGTATGTATTCCTGAGAAGTTGTAAAATGGTAGATTCTGTAGTAAGAGGAATATATGGTAAATATCTTCTAGTCAAAAACGTAGTAAAACTATGATAAAAGGGCAGGGTTCCAGATTTCACACAGAATTTAACGGATATACAGTAGTGTGAACAAAACGAACACGATGTAAGTCAGACACGTTCACGAAATGGACCAATAAGACAGACATAAAAAGAAACGGAAACATGTAGGATAGAAACGGTCCTAATTGTCCGACTTTCCGCACAGCGAAATCCACGCATTAATCAGCGCTTTAAGAAAACGAAGTCCGTCATTGCACAAGCAAGATTGTATCCGCTTCTTCCTGTGTCTGTTTGGGATCTGCCCGACTTACGCTGCGTCCGTCTCGTTCGCACTGCTGTGTGCATCTGGACCGCACTCTGATAAAAGTATACTGTATATATCCTTGTCACATTGTTCCATTATCATTGCCAATACGTCTGGATAGGACATTCTAAAGATTAAAATAACGACAGTACGGCTGTTCTGCAAATTATGAAGTATCTTTGTCATAGTACATATAATATCTGTTAGCCATAGGTTGTGCCACGATCGGAGCAACTCGTACTAAAAGTTTGTATTTATATAATAACGATGGAAAGACTTAATTATATCAAATTTGGTTATTATTGTAGAGTACAATTATGTAGAGTGTTTTATGACTTTTGGGAAATATTTTAATATCAGATTCTTGAATAATACTGCATTTGCAAAATCAAATGTTTATTATGGAAAAGTATGATTACGTAATTTTTTTATCAAAGTATGCGCTATTAAAAGATTTTCTGGCGGCCATGAAACATCTTGTATATTGGAATTTGCAAATAAAACCTCGTACAATGTGTATTGTAGTATTTACTAATATTTGAAAACTAGCAAGTCTGTACCATTTATCATGTATGCAATGTTTTATTATATTTTCGGAATATAATTGCTTTCATTATTCAATTTTTTAATTTACTGTGTATTTGATATCTCCATCATTATCATCATCGTCATCAAGTTGCGTAAATTTACTATTATTTTTCTAAAATTGTGTGCAGTATTAAGAACTGGAAGTATTCCGCATCAAGAAAATTTATGTTTAGGCAAGATTTTCTCCCATTTGATATTTTAACGAATATAACAGGATTTAATTTCCATGTATTTTTTTTTTATACTCGATATGTAAAGTAGGCAAGCTGAATATCGTAACAGGCAGTTCTTTGGCAGCGTTACAAGAATCAAGTCGCGCATTTGTATAAAATGAAGCGAATAACTCCTTATATTCCAATGAGACATGGTGCTTAAATAAATTTTCAATATAAGAATTTATATAATGTGATACCGGCATACAAATGTTCAAATATTGATTTAAATAATTCACATGTATTTCCGCATACCTTCATTATCATATATGTTAATTTGAAAATTTTCTACTTTAAATTTAATCAATCATAGTAATTGTAACACAATAAAATCATTATATTATAAACTGTTTTGATCATTTCGACATACATAAACTATCATTTCATTTGAATGTACAACATATATATGAGATAAATCTAAATATGCATATAATATATATTTTTCTAAGCGTACGCACACATTTAATTTTTCTGATAATAAATTCATTTTATAAATAATATATGATACATCAGGAATAATAATTTTTGAATATATGTGTGTATGTGCGCGCGCGCGCGTGTGTGTTATAATTTATAATAGATCGTAATAATGTAACATTCTCAATTATAGTATTTAACAATAAATGATATATATGTATATAATGTTGATTATTGATTATAATCACGTTATACATCTTTTACAGGCGATTGCATGCACGAAATTCAATTAAAAAATAGATCGAGCTCGAAAAATATAACTCTTATCGAACTTAGCTTGTAAAAGGCAAAACTCGTGATGGATTTTACAATAACCTGTGTTTATTTCGTACTGTACAATTTTAAAAGCAACAAGATTTAACATAAATTTCAAAAAACAAACGTGTTATCGCGCTAATTGTGTAATTAATGCCGCGCACATTTCAAAAAATTCCATAGTATGATGGCCCGTTGCTTGCGGAGGCGGTAATGTTGGATCTAAGAGAACATTTTTTTGTATCGTTTTACAATGAGATTATGTTTATAATTATGCATGACTCAGATCTACGTTCAATGATTCAGCTTACCACGTCCAATATCATCCTCTTCGCTCGATAAAGACTTGAAGTCCAGTAAATAACTCTTATAATCAACTTGATACAATTGTAGCGACATTTTGCTATACCTGTCGGTTAACTGATTTTTGTGCCGTACTCTAACACTGTATGCATTTATGATCTTCCATTCCTGAAAAAAAGGACACTTTGCTGTGATATCGTACGATAAGGAATCGATATAATATGCAAACTTCGGACGCAACCAGTCTTACAAAGTTAAGCGCCTTCATGGCGCGATAAACTTCATTCATAATGTCGGTCGGTTTCGACTGTGATCTAATTCCCAAGTGCCATTTCGCTCTTTTTACAGGTGTGCCGCGATTACCTGGCATTTGCGCAGGTACGCTACTCTGCGAACCTTGACGTTCACGATATGCTGCAACATTAACATTAAAAGTACAATCACATTATATATTACATTATATTTTATACACAAACTAGTCCACAAAAAATAGAGAACTTTTCAGCCGCGACGTGAAGAGAAAATTCGTTTGATGTTTTACATACGTGCTATTCTTTCTGGATGAGGCCTCAATGGACTGTTGTTCGCATCGTTCGGGCTGAACGTGACCGGTGGAGGGCTAGACGCCACATAAAAATCTTTCAATTCCGCCTTCGCGGCTTCATCCGCAATTCTCTTATTGTCTATGATTAAGTGATAAGCGATTGCCAACTGATCATGCGGATCGCCGCCCAACAGCGCGGAATGCACTTCCGGTTCTTTAACATTAAACTTCTCGCACACTTCGTTCACGGCATCTATATCAATGACGGATGAATCTTGCTCTACAGGCGACGGGAATAAGTACGATGGTAAATCTTTTTGGAACCATTCATGTTTCCTGAAAATGAAAAATATCATTAAATGTATAATGATAACAACATTTTTAATGAAGCACTCGTATGTTATTTAATGTACTTTATATCTTCGATAGTTGCTCTTTTCATTGGATCGACTTGTAACATGTGGCATAAGAGGCTAACAACAGTTTTATTCAAATATTCCGGAATGGGAAAGACACCAGCTAGAATTACAAAACATTTACAGTTAAAAAAAAAGATGTTCATTCGTGAGCAATATTTTTGGCCGATTCATTCTCTTCAGGAACGACAACTTACATTTGATTTTGCGAAAGAGAGTAGGAACATGTTCATCATCGAATGGTAAGGTGCCGCAAAGTAGCGCGTACAATATAACACCGCAGGACCAAATATCTACTTCGGGGCCAGCGTACAATTTGCCGGATATAACTTCTGGCGCAGCGTAATTCGGAGAGCCGCATGAAGTACGTAAGAACTCACCATCCATCATCATGTTCGACAGACCTACATTTTTGCGGAAGAATATTTAACCACTTATGTGAAATGCAAGTGTCAGTATGCCAACTATAGCCAAGTACCAAAGTCTGCGATCTTCACATGAAGATTGTGATCTAATAGAAGATTTTCCGGCTTTAAATCGCGATGAACTATCATATGCCGATGGCAATAATCAACGCCCGATATAATTTGTTGGAAAAATCGCCGTGCTTCGTATTCCTTAAGCTTGCCATGTTTAACAATATAATCAAATAGCTCTCCACCCGAAACATATTCCATTATCATGAATATGTCTGTAGGAGTACTTATGACCTGGTATCTATACAAATCCAATATGTATTAAATTTTTTATTAGATATTTTAATAACGCTTATTTAAAATTTAAGATGTTATACAAGCTAATGTGAATTACAAAGCTCTTGAATGAATAAATAGAATTCGGATTTAAATCAGAGCCTACTTTATTGGAGCAAATAAATTTATTATACTTCAAATCTTGGTAATAAATTAACATTTTAATTCTAATTTTGAGTCTCTTTTAAAATAATTAGATAAATTGAATTGTTAAACGTACAAAAAGAAACAAGATAGATTAATAGAATAAAATATTTTGTCAAAATTAAAATAAAATCTAATAGAATACCTAAAACAAATACCTCATGTTTGTATCCAAAAAAATTTATATTGATCTTAAATAGATCAAAATCGATTCGATTAGAAACGCTATAATATTGCAATTCCGAACTTCAATTAATACTTACAGTTTGATGATGTGAGGGTGTCTAAAGAGTTTAAGATTTTGTATTTCTCTGCGAATTTTGCCTACAACATCGAGGCTTTTGATCTTTTGACGATTCAAGATCTTCACAGCAACTTTGTGCTTTGTTAAAACATGTTCTCCAACTACAAATATTACAAGCATTACATGAAAAAAAACATAGCAACAAGTTTTTTGCCTTACATATATTTTGCACGCGCACACACACATTCACACAAAATATTTATTTAATCATACGTACTTTTTACTTTGCCAAACGTGCCTACTCCTAAAGTTTGGCCCAATGTATAATGGCCTATTTTAACAATGGGCTGTGGTTGATTATTTGAAAGTTTTTCAGACATTTTTATTTGACTGCTATATAATTCATAAAAATATATTATTAGACTTAAATATAACTAAAATACACATTAATTAAGCATTATATAAGCACATTAACAGGTTTAAAAATTCTACAATTATGCTCAAAAGTTAATATGTATTAACAGAAAGTACTCTACATAATTTTGATCAGTAGTTTACTTCTTACTATCATGTAACTAAAATACAAAGTTTAGATGACAACAATAATTCAAAAATCATTTCTTGACAGTTAAAATATTAAATTAGAAGTTTAATCCAATAAGTAAAATAACGTCGTATTATCAAGAAAAATGGCTGTAAAATATGCATATATTTAGTTCACATTTCAGGTTTTATTTGTATAAAAGATTGGATCCATTATTCATCTATAGATAAGATTAAAGAGAAACAAAAACCGTTTATTATTATTATTTTTTATGTAACTTGTTTTATTGTTCTTATTATTAAATTACTTTGAGCAAACTAAAACGTCAGCAAAATCACTTGTCATATCGCGATAATGCTTGGCACATGTTACTCATTTGTATAATTGAGTTTAAACTACGGAATAAACTTTCTTGCATAAGACTGCACTGCGATTCATAATAAAGAAAAGCGTGTAAAGCATAAAAACCCCAATTACAAAAACGCACAGCCAGAATGACACAAATAACCTTAATCACCTGATACTAATTTATTCGTTTCTAGATGATCTTCTTATCACATAGGTATGGTGCCATCAATTTTATCGGATTGACTGTGTCATCACTCGAGTGATAATAATAGAACACGGCGCACTTTTTGCATTATATAGCTGTACAAAAATATTCACTCAAAAATAATTGTAAACAAATCAAGAGATTATCCATTACAGAATTTGTGAGAACTCGATAAAATCGTCGTTCACGATTAAAATACACATGGCTTCTATACGTATATATATAATATGATCATCGATTGAAATGGATCTAAAGGACACAGAGTGTGTATAGCGATCATAGACGTAGCAAGCATAGACGTATGTTAAGTCTGTATCAGACTATGCAACTCGTTACAGCAATTCGCGAGCAGTAAACTGCTAGAAATGCACCATACAGCACACAGCATTTCTAGTAATTTACTAGATTGCTTGCGATTGCTGCAACAAGTTGCACAGTCTGATGCAGGCTTTATAGAATTCAATGAGTTCAATGGTATTTCTTTATCTGGTTATTTCTGTTGACATTTGTGGTACTTTGTATATGATAATCAGAGTTATTTATTAATCATGTGGCAAGTTAGAATTATCATTAACGCGAGTGACATGTAAAGATTTTTATTGCAATTACAATGGTTACAATTTAATGTTAAATTTTGCTTAAAAAAATTATAATTTATTATGGTTATCGATGTGAATGATATATGAATGTGATTGTTATGCTAAAAAATCAACATTATTTATTAAATGTTATTATATTCTTTATACTTTATACTTTAGAGGGCCAACTCAATAATATTAAATTATAATTTTATTCTGTTTTAGTTCTTAATCGTTTATTTTCAAAATAAATGTGGAAAAATTATCTCTACGATACTTATGGAATACGCATAATTTATAATGGAAGGCATTAACAATTTGGAACAATTTCTTACTGATATTTGGCACGACATTGCCAATCTCGTGTACGAGTCCACAGTCTATATAGATCATGCAGCGACAGAATGTCTACACTGGCATACTGGTGGCAAGATATCCTCTTTTTTTAAGGATGCTGGTGCAATATCAATTTATGAATTGGCTATGTACAATTTCCATGTATGTCACTTAATTAAAATATTATCTGTTTCTTTCAAAAGTGGAATTGTTAGTTTATCAATTGTCTTTGCTTTATAGTATGTGAAAGTAAAGAACTGTAAAAAGGCAGTTATTATTTCAACCTCCAACAATTCAGCTTTTTATCACCGCACAGTTAAAATGATAATGGAGAAAAATGCATTTGATTGTTGTACAATCATCACTGCTGCCCATCCAAATGTACTGAATTATGAGGACACAGTATCATTAGAGGACAGAGTAGATTATATCAAATTGAAAAGAGATATAGAAAATTGGATGTATTCTAATCAGCAGGTAATATCAATTTTATTTGTGCATACTTTTATCTAAAGAAAAGATAAATGAGTCAATTTAAATTTTGTTAAAAATGTTGATAATAATAGAACATCTCTGCTGTTTCATCGAAATTTGTACTTATGATTACGCTAGATAGATCTATATTTGTATTATACAAACTATGTTCAGTTTTTAACTAAGTTTCTCGTATATTATTAAAATGTCATTATTGATTTATAGGAATGTTCGATGGCAATACTTTTTCGACCAATTTTTATTTGCTCAATTGACAATGGTTTTTTCTTGACACCACCTTTCAATGATCTATTACCTCCTTTAAATAGTACGCTAGTAAAAGATTCCGAGCACATGATTGATCATTTCATAAGTTTACTTAACAGTTTTTTTATGCACTTAAATTTGAAAGAAGACATCTACTCGATTGGGAAGTTTAGCGAATATATTGCTGCAAAATTAGAAATGTCACAGACAGCTATTACTCGTAGAAATGTAAGTATATTTCATTATGTAAAATAATAATATTGAGTACATTGTTAGAAGATTTAAAGTGTTTTATTTTAATATTTTATATACATCAGAATTTAGGGGGTGCAAAAGACAGAGGAGTGTCTTTAATTTTCGTCGACAGAACATTAGATCTTTGTACTCCTACCAGTAATAATACTGAATCGTTACTGTCCAGAATATTGTGCACTTTGCCTCATTTACCTCATCACTACAATGATGTCGCAATAAACATGTCTCCTCTATTTTGTAGTTTGCAGGTAGGTAAAAAATTTATATGATGTGTATTTCATGCAAATATAAAAATATTGTTTGGAAATTTTTATTTGTCAAGGAACCTATTGAGGTACCAGGATGTTTAGCCAGCAATGACAGTAGTCTAATGAATATATTAATCACGAAAAAACAAAAAGAGGTATTGACTACCATTAACAAAATGCTCATCGACATTCTATCAACGAAAGAAAATGTAAAATTAAAAGAGAATCTCAAAGCAAAACTGACAACGAGGATTTCCGCTCATAGTTTAGAGAAACTTGTAAATAAATTCAAAGATATAGACGATCTCCATATTATATCGGAATCAAGTAAAAAACTTCAAGTATGTGCTCCAATAATAGAATATTAAAGCTTAATTGCGCAATATGCTTTGATAACGCCAGATTCTGAATGCTATTCTCTGCATAATTTTATCACGCATACAACTTAAAAAAATTACGTGCTTAAATGTTACTTAAATTATTTTATTGCAGGTGGTGCTAGGAATTATACAAGCCCTAACATCGGAAAAGACTTCCCAATTAGAGCTGCTGATTAGTCTTGAGAAATTAGTTTTGCAAAACATAGCTATCAGTCGTGATTCTACAAACGTGCTTGGGCAAGTAATTATCATACTTAATTTCTCATATTCTTAATCTATACACCTTATTTCATAAGGTTATATTTATTCTTTTAAATATTTTCAGTTCAGTAATATAATAAAAACTCGCGAAACGAGAGGCTTAGATACTGACAATATATTGGCACTCTTGGTGCATATTTATGCATTTGTTGGAACTGAAATACAATTCTCTTCTCAGCAAGAGGAACAATTGAAAGAAACCATAGCTGACGCTATATTTGAGGATATCACGAAATTAAATGAAAACAGGATGGATAGCAAGATATCGGTGTATCAGCAAACTTTATTGCTTTTTGGTTCGTAGAAATAGAATTACAAGATAGAGAAATAACGTATCAAAATATATAAATTTGCTTATCAAAATTGTGTTACATGAGTAATGATTTTATCAAAAATATCAATTATGTTATATTTAATTAAGTTATATAAATTGAATACATAAAAATATAGAGATCATACTTAATTATATATAATTATCTTATTTAATCACATATGGAAGAGTATATAAAATATAAATAATACATAACAAATAAAAATATTGAAATTATGCATTTAAATTAGGTACTGCTGATGCCGAGATTTTGAAGAAAACTTCTACAAAAATGGCGGAACACATTATAAGTACTCTACGTGAAGTAGCTCAGCAACGCACTTTTCTGTCTGATTATACGTATGAAACTATATCGCGCATTTTTAATATAGATAATTCAAGTAAACGAGAAATTTACTTTGAAGTCGAATATATATCGCATATCTCTAATTTTTATATTTTATATTTTGAATTGTGTGTATTTTATGTTCTTAGTATTCATGTTTTATATTTGTGGAATGATCAGAATTATTTCATTTATATTTTTTATAGATCTTTGATGTCTAAATCGAGTTCTCAAGAGATAGTTCGACGTGTTGGTATCTTGCAACAATTACTAACAGATGTGCTCCATCCAGATAGATATGAACTTCTTGATTTACACCAGAAATCATCTTCATTTATGTCTGCTGGTTTAAAGTAAGTGAAGTCTATAGTAGATTTACATGTTATGTTTTAATTAAATAGTCAATTTTCATATAAAAATCTTTGAAAAATCTAATTTTGTAATAACAATATACTTTTAATAGCTTATTCTCAAAAGGAAGAATGAGACATCATCCATGTGATAATAATTGGATTATTATTTATGTCGTTGGTGGCATAACACCAGAAGAAGTAAAAGAGACGAAAGAAATTATATCATTATTCAATCCCAATTGCCAAATAACAATGGCAAGTACAAAACTGTTAAATCCGTTAGATATAGTAGATAATGTTCTTCTATCATCAATTGATTTTTAATTAAAAATATGTTACTTCTAATATTCTTATATCATTGAAGAATCCACTTTATGCCAGAGTCAAAAATTGAATAACGAATCTGTCTTACGTTCTTGGCGGATTGTATGTTTGCAATAAATTCGTGAGTTACAGTATTTTTACAAAGTTGTAACCTATAATTTATATCTGTCCCTTCTAACACATTAGTGTATTTTAGATGCGCTTTATGTTCATGTACTGGTTCATCCCACTTTGTGTAAATTGTCATGATGTGAAATTGAGACATTCGAAGTTGAATAAGTTTAATCAAGCTTTTTGCATATTGATCCATACTGAGAATTTTTGTTCTCCTCTCCTGCCAATAGTACGCCAGTATATTATCTATGGCTAGCATAGCGACTCTATTATTCCTAATAAGCTCATCCTCCAGCATGTGCAGAGTTAATTGGAGCTGTTCGTTGTTACAACAACTAATCACAGTCAAATTTTCTAAGGATTTATTCACGATTAAGTCTATTGTGTCAACTGCTAATTGTGTATCAGCTATATTGCGAATCATGGAGGACATAAGTTCAGCTACTTTACTCATCCGGATGTGACCAAGTGTATCGATCAGTATCGCATGGACGTTGTGTCCATTAATTTTAATTCCGTTATACCGTTCAGGCAATATACATTTTGCTATAAATTGACAAAGTAGTAGGGTTTTTCCAGTGGACAAACCTCCAACGATTTCTATGACGCTCTTGTTGTCAATGTCAGAGAACAAAACTTCATCAGGATTAATTGATTGCAGTTTCTCGTTGAATCTAGACAACAATTCTAATCCGTCTTCAGAATGGAACTGCATATTATTATTGATTTTGGTGCATTCGTCTCTTTCTTTCTGTTTACACTATTACAAAGTTTCAATTTATTATTAAATTATTAATTCATAAAAGCTATATTAATACATTAAGAAATACTGTGTTAATTATTGAAAGAATTGAATAAAAAATACCTGAATAACAACAAATCACATCCAGATTTGCAGACGAAAAGCAATCCAGGTTATACTACAAGAGGTCGCAACCAGTCATAAGTCCTTCTTGAAAAAGTAGGGGACAACTAAAGCGCCACTATACTGTGTACCAACAGGACCCATGGTTTAATTATTGTGGTATAACGAGTATAATGAGTATAAATCATATTTTTAAAAAATATATATTTTTTTTAATTATATATATATTATAGTTATTTTTATAATGGATCTCATTATACCCATTATATATCACACTATTATATATATTGTATATATATATTAAAAAAAATTTTTTTTAATTTAAACATCCAAACTAAATTCGTATATATATCACAAAGCCAATAAGTGTCAGAACGTAGTTATTACTACACAAATGTTGATGTCACTAATGATTATTTCTTACGCTATTATTTAAAACAATAGCGATATATATTAATAACACAATAATATGAAAAGATTTTGAACTGTTCTGAATTCTCCACAGCGACAAGTTTATTAGATCAAGTTAGTTAAATCGAGTCGAGCGACGTAAATTTCGATAGTCCGATCGGCGTATATCTTATTTGTGTTTAATAGAAATCGTGCCGCGCGTTCGTCTCGCCCCTCTCATACGAAATACTCGTTCGCTTTTCGCTCTAGCTCGCTTACTCGTTCGCCCACATGTTCACTACCGACGTGTGGCGAACCGCAAGCGTATTCTCCCAGTTCAGACGGACTGCAAGTTCGGTGCGGTTGTGTGTGCTCTCCTGCTATTTCACCTATCAGTCCGCACGAGTTGCCCGGCGCGTGAAGGTAACAAGACCGATCTATCTGTCTCAGCTTACCTGCCGATCGGCCGATTAAAGAATAGCTGAATAGCAGTTGTCGCAATGAGTGTGCGCGGCAAGCAAGTGCAAAATGGTACAACCTACGAGTTTGATTATATGCGAGTACCTGATACCAGAACGCGTTGGCAGATATTTCGCGACGGTATCCACAATCCCCAAGAAGGAACGTATTGTGGTCATCCACCAAAAAAATGGGGTGAGTCAGCGAATATTATATATATATATGTGTGTAAGATAAATATAAGATAAATATTTGCAAACGTTTAGGCGGAATGATACAAGTTGCAGTTGAATATATTCAAACATATACCGAAGGAAGGAAAACCTACTCCAAAGTACTGTCTTTTTAATTTGGTTGCACAAAAAGACTAATTTTACGTTACATTAGTATTAATATATTCAGAATATATTAGAAATATGAGAGGGAAATTTTGGAAAGTTTAAAAAATGTTATGATTTATATACACAAACTTTCTCATTCTTTACACACATCATATAATCTTTTCAAAATTATATGTATATTTTGCGTAGAAGAATCAACGCGTTTTAAAAAAAAATTCTAGAAAATTTTTGAACTTAATTCTCTGTTTTGTTTATTTTGAAAATTATGTGCATTAAATTTTGAAAATCTTAGAAAAGTAGATATATAATCTATAGCGTTAATATTAATTTACCATTCTGTGTATATTTGTATTATTTTCTAAATTAGGTGCACGATGTTCCTTCTTTATCATAGAAAATCTTAATGTTTATTTAATATTTACAATTTAAATTTCACTGTAGATGATTATCAACGATTTAATCAAGAAACTTGCTGTCATAATATAATGCCGAGATAAATATGAGATACGTTTATGATTAGTTTGAATAAAATTAATATTATTATCTCACAATACGAATTAACAGTATAGAAATCATTCTCTCTCAAATTTTAATTTTATGTTACACATCTTATGTTGCATATGTAAAACAGTTTTATTCTTTCATTTGTATTTGAAATATTCGCGATACCTGTATATCGTATTTATGATACATACACATAGCTATTTCATAAAGTATATTGTTGCCATTAAACTCAATAATAATAACTAATAAAACTTTATTTCCTTGATTCCGAAATCACGAGTAAATGTCAATGAATGATAAAAAGTCGGTTTTTATAGCATTGAACATAAAATGAAAGTATAAACTTTAATACGACTTATTCTGATTGTAGAAATATTGTGAATATTATATCTGTATTGTATACATGACCTTTAAAGGCGCAGTTTGCTATGTACAGAAAACCATATGTAGAGTACAAATTTTTTCATATTAACAATATTAAGCTACTTGTTTGCAATTTTTTATTAATTTTTAATAAGTAAATTAATTTAAACACTACATTATTTGGATAAAAATTTTGAGAAGTTAATAATTTCTTATTTAAAGATATTAAATGACTATATTTAAGGATATTTAATAAATCTAGAATTTTTCTTGAGGAGACTTTAAAAATATCTTAAAAATAAAAAGATTAAGAGTAAACATCTCGAATAACGGACGCATTATCAATGTGTTATCGTTATCAGAAGAAACTAGATCTCAAAGCAGCGATCGAGAGATGTTTCAATGCTCTTATGAAAAGAAATAAAATATATAACACATGTGACATTAGAATTTTAACAACAACAACATTCTTCTCGCATTGTGATTAGAAATTGACATTTAATAATTAATAATTAATTATTCAATTGACAATAATTAATTTTATCAATTTTATTAGTTAGATAGATTGATTTTCGTTACGTATGATGATTTCTTTTATTCGATATTTATTCGATTTCCTAATAAATTTAAAAATTATTAACAGAAGCTTAATATTGGCGTGCATTTGTACGCATGTATACGTATCGAGAATGTCTTACGTAGGCTTCTTGGACCGCTTAGAAGCGGCCGACCCTGAGCCTCGCGTTTTGGCAGCAGTTGGTGCGAGAGAGCACCGGAAATAAGTATCGGTGATGGTAATAGTGAGGAGCGAAAGGGTACTTGGCCTTCGAGAGAGAAAGAGAGAGAAAGAGAGAGAGAGAGAGTGTGTGTGTGTATGTGTGTTCAAGTTGTTTGAAAATATTTTTAGCTATCAGTTAGGATTTTTCCGAAAAATGTGATCATGAAAGGTTATCGTGAAGAATGGAAAAATTGAATATCTTCCTTAAGTATTTAAAATATTAATCTTATGACATTTTTTTTGCTTGTTTAATGACCAGAAATTTTTATTTTAATAATGAAATAATCATCACATTATTGATTATAATGAGAGTACGATATATTAGTTTGTATAAGTAAATATCATAAATTTTCTATTATTAATGTCTGTTTTAATTTCCACACAATAATCTTTCGATCACTTGGAAAGAGAATATCTGTGTCAGTGCTGTTTAAAATGATAGCTATCGGAAATCTTTCGGCTCTTGGACAGAAATATCGATTCCAAATATATGTTTTACAAATATACGCACTTACGCAATAGAACACATAAAATCGGCATCAGACCATGCATTAGAAAATGTAAACAGTGAATTGGAAATTGGAGTTCGATCTATCAGAAAAAAAAGTGGGCTAAGGTTGAACTTACTTCATGGATTGAATTCTAATCTTCAATTTGCAATCTTAAACTCTAATCCGATAAGTCAGTATATAGTCTCCTTTTGTTTTAGATCGAAGAAACATAGGTCATGATATATTTTTATATTTTCTACAACAATTGTGCCGACATTTCTAAACGTTTCTAAAATACAATTCGCATTTTAGTCGTTTTATTTGCACGTTAAATCGCATTTTATACACAACAATCACGATAACATTGATTAATATGACGTGTGATCGCATGCCTAATTAATTTCGCACTTTCAATCAATTGTTTTTTTCAACGAAATGCAAACTGTCTTATGGACAACTTCACGTCAGATAGGAGAATATTTCTTGTTATTATTTTTTTTCGTACATTCATACATATTTAGATATTAATTTACATAAAGTTTCAATATCAACTAAATTCTTTACAGTTTCTGTGAACTGTGACTTTGAATCACAGTTTAAAATGCATAAATGGTTCTAAATGATTTGAAATAAAAAAAAAATTTAACGACTATTTTAAAATGCATTTATCGTAGCGAAAAGTTTCAATACCTTTCCTGATATGTCTTTTCGATCCTGAAGAGAAAAACTAGTTGTATCCAGTAAACACGCAAGTCTTTTGATAGGAGGAAAAAATATCTTATTCCTCGAAATTAAAAAAACAGTTATATGAATAGATACAATATATTGTATAATCAGATATATAATTCACAGACCACACGGCAGCGTGCGTTGTCAATGCCAGTCGTTAAGAAAATGTGGTTTTCTGAGGAAGACGATAAGATCCTCTCGTGACGAAATAATTCGCACTTGTTATCGCGGACATTATCTTTTTTTTTCCCCCGATCTGACGTCATCGTACCATATCGCGCGCGCACGACATTCTTTTCTTCCTTCGTGCAGGAATGAACCAGTAATGAACGTGTGTTCACGACAAACGCACGTGTTTTCCTTCCAGCTAATTCGATACGCAATCATCGTATCGCTTTATTTTTATGATTAAAATACCTTCTTACATAAATAAAATATTTTTCGCCATTTCAAACAACTCGTCGCGCAAAAGAATTGCTTCTATCCAATTTTTTTTTTTTTTTTGCTTGAAGATCATGGCATAAATGTGGGTCACCACGAGGTCGACAGCAATGTCCAACAGGTGTTTCACGACAAACGAGTTTTTTTCTCAGAGAAACGCTTATGTCTAAACTATAACTAATCTAATCACAATTACGAAATTGTTGCATTTTAAGATATGCGCTTCCAGTACACGTTTCCTGATATGAAGATTTTTCATCTTTTTTTATATAAGTATAGATGTTGACTGTAATTAATAAGTTAATTAATAGCATTTTGGCTATGCGATTCCAGACAAATTACAGTTGCTGAAGTACTTCGCTTTTATAAGAATCCTGATAAATTTGCGCGTTACACGTGCAAGATATGAATTAGCAAGTGTGTTGCTACGCCTTCTGCTTACCGCAGCTTATGGTCATGTGAATGCATGCTATTCCGCGTGCAAATTTTCATGCTAATCATACCGATTCTCACGCGGTTTTGATGTCGTTAAATTATCGTGCGACCAATGAGACCTGAGCGAGGCTCGCTGAAAAAAGGAACGTCGTATTTTTTCTTGCTGAAGCAACTCGGTGCTTGAATTTCGTTGCAATGGAAACCGTGGCACTTGAATTACAATGTCATGAAATTGGCGCAACAGAAAAACAAGTGGTCTATTGAGTCTCTGTATTCGAAGAATTTGCGTCTGCAAATATTTCCCATTCCGCAAAATCTCACACTCATCACTTCGTCACAGATTAGCGTGCAGATAAGCGAAGAGAGTAAATCATAAACCACGCAAATTTCCGTTCTTCTGACGATTAACTGTTGATAATGTTGCTGAATTGAAATCAACCGTCCAAATGCAATTAAGCTCATCCACGGATGTAATTAGACACGTTCCCACAAGATGTTTATTCACTATAGCAGAGAACAAAAGTGTCATTTCTTCTTCGTCTTTCAGTATTATATGTAAATGATGTATTATATTAGCGTCGTGTGTAAAGAAATAGTGTGTTACTTAGTCGGTTTGATTTAAAACGCCGCTATCGGAGAATTTTTCAATGCGCACCGATGTGTCTGTTGCATACAATTTCCTGGTTCTTGTTTCTTACGAATAATCACAATCGAGAGCGGTGGATCAACAACCGCAGTGATAACGACGCGGCGATCACGTGCAATCGTACACAAAAACCGCAACACAATCAAACCGTACACAATCACCGACTGTGATACCGCACTGTGCAAATTTTTTTGCTTACTGACGAGTTCTGCTTATCTCGCGACCTCGAATATATGTGTACTGTTCTAAAATATATATATTGCGTTTGTAAACTTTCGATTTTCACTTGCAGCTTGTTTGTCAGACGGAAAACTAAAATTTATTTACATTTTTTATTTTCAATCATTGGAAAACTCGCGTTTACTTCGCACGTTTCGAAAATCGGCCTATTTTGTAGAATTTCCGTTGAACAGACATTTTGCTTATCGCAAAATAGTTTGAAAATTGATCAGTTTTGAGCTGATAAGTATTCCCTATTTTTTGGATTAGCGTATATTACTTCTATTGCCACATTTTCGTATATTTGTTGATTAATGTATTAAAATCAAATGTATTTCCGACATTAATTATTCAAATATATCGTACGCTTATCGTTATTTGTAATGCGGATGAGCAAAATAATTATACGATAAATTATCTAAAACGATTTGGGAAATCGCGCTAAGAATTAAAGCGTTCAACGTTTATCTTCAAATGCCTGATCGATGATTAATCAACGAAAATATCTTTGTGCGTTGAACGTTTGCATTAAGAAATCAATAGAAACGATAAGATATTGCTGCTTACTTTGAGAAATAGACTGACAGGAATTAATTTATTTAATAATTTCTTGTCAGAACCACGTTTAAAAAGATGTTTCCGCTTCACTTATACTGTCAAACTATCTATCACATAACGAGTAAATATTTTGACAGATATTAAGTATTGAAAATAAATAAGACTTTGAAAAATTAGATCTTTCAAATATTCACGGGTTTGATCTTTCCGAAAGATATTTGAATTTTTCTCCGAGAATAATAAGAGCGACACACTTGGCCGTCCAATGCGGCTTGCGATGCTTCTGAAAAAGGATCTATATTTAGAGCGTGCGTTTGGCACGGTGCTCTGTGCTTTAAATATTTTGTGTTCGATCGACGAAATGATGAAAATTTTCGTTTACGTGGTTGCATAAGTGGTCGAAGTAGGCTGCTAGCCGTGTGACGTCAAATGATGAGTTTAGGTTCGTCTTTGGTGGAAAAAAAGTAGGAAAGGATGAAACTCGTGCGAGTTGCTCATAAGTGGCTTTTTGAATTTCGTATATTCGCGTACGATTAATATTTGGAACACCACGCAGCGGTGTTCAAATGCGTCAATGACGAAAGTATAAATAACACGATAGAATCGCGTCCTCGTTTTTTTGTTTTTTCAGAAATTGTGAGGAAATCGATTTCGTAAAAGAAAAAATTTGTACAATGCTATTGAAATTTGTTAGAGAATTGTTAAAACTTTCTTTTTTAGATTTGTTAGAGAATTGTTAAATTCTATTAAATTTTCTATAAATCTCTATCACCAAGTGATGTTTTTAGTTTCATCTACTTTTTAATTCATTTTACTTATTCCGTTGTGTATTTTTATGTGAATAAAATGTAAAATATAAATAAAAATTAGTTTTACGAGTTATAAAAAGACCTATAAGAAGTTCTATCTCTTGTTATATTTTTTTTAGGCATGACTGTTATCTTCTATGCTTGCTTCTATGCCGGACTGGCGATACTTTTCAGCATTTGCATGAAAGCCATGCTCGCCACATTGAGCTACGAGAAACCGAAGTGGACTCTAAGTAGCAGTCTCATAGGCACCAATCCAGGTAAGATTTTTGCCAAAGTGACAATTGCATTTAAAAAGTCATTATAAAACAATCTATTATGCTCTCGATG